GACTTTTCATGGCACTGCCGTGGCCCATGACCAGAGCTTTTTTTTTTTTTTAATTTCTATTAGTGAAACAGCAGGAGGTACAGTTGTAGACTTACATATTTTTGTGCTTGGGTTTCAGATGTGGTGAGAAAGGGACCCGCCTTCACTGCTGGTGGGAATGCCGACTGGTTCAGCCCTTTTGGAAAACAGTATGGACGATCCTCAAAAAATTAGAAATTGAGCTCCCATTTGACCCAGCAATACCACTCCTGGGAATATATCCCAGAGAGGCAAAAATGTATAGTCGAAGTGACATCTGCACTTGTTTGTTCATTGCAGCACTCTTTACAATAGCCAGAACCTGGAAGAAACCTGAGTGCCCGAGAACAGATGACTGGTTAAAGAAACTTTGGTACATCTACACAATGGAGTACTATGTAGCTGTTAGAAAAGATGAAGTCATGAAATTTACATACAAGTGATACTACATGGAAAGTATCATGTTAAGCAAAATGAGTCACAAAGAGAGGGACAGGCCAGAGCTTTTTAAAAATGTGTAGTTTGAGGAGAAGGCATGATATACTCAGGAATTTTAATCTCCGTTTTATCCTAGCATCCACATAAGAGATGTGGAAGGGGGTCGGGATGGACACCATTTCAGTGTGTGGGTTACAGAATTGCCCCTGCGTGGTGTTGGCTAGGGTGTGGCGCATTCAGTGATCAGTTACCTGGGGGCTGGAGGGGTTGAGTTGCCCCTGGCTGTGCTCAGGCCCGCTCCTAGGTCAGTCCTCGGGGATCACTCCTGGTGGTGCTCAGGGGACCGTGAGGGGTCAGGCCTGAAACCCAGGGCTCCTGCATGCTAAGCCTGGTCACCAACCTCCTGCGACATCGTCCTGATCTAAATGTTCATATTTCGTGATCCAGTTATATCCATTAACAACTTTTAAACCTTAATATTTAAAAAAAAAGACATTTTTTTTCCTGGGGCCAGAGCGAGAGTACAGCAGGTAGAACATTTATTTGCCTTGCACACGGCTGACCCAGGTTTAATCCCCGGCATCCCTATGGTCCCGAGCACCACAAGGAGTAATTCCTGAGTGCAGAGCCAGGAGTAAGCCCTGAGCTTACTTAGGGTGTGTGAGTGTGACCGCCACAAAAAATTTTTCCTTAGGGGCCCTATACTCAGGAGTTACCCCTAGTAGTGCTCAAGGGACCCTATGTGGGGCCAGGTATGAGCTCACAAAACATGGGGGTGCCGCACGACACATGCGTTTGGTGGCCAAGAGCCGCCTCCCACCCTCCCCAGGCCTCTTCAGCAGAGGGACAAAGAGACAGGGGACCACAGACTGATGGTGAAAATGGCCCCTTTAATTCAGCGCTGCTAGCATACTTACAGAACATCTGAAGGGTCAGAAGTATAGGACTGCATGTCTGTGTGATCTACAGAGGTAAACATTCCAGCAGAGGCAATTCTCTGGGGGCGATAAACTCAAGGAGATGCTCTGCTTCCCAGGGATTTCTGTATTGCTTTTCTCTTTCCTTCTAGTCATATATATCAAACAATTAAGTCAAACAATTAATCAAACAATCGATTAAGTCAGCTTCTTACCAATACTTGCAGTTGTTTGGATAAAGTAAGAGATAAAGGTCCCAAACTTAGTTCTCTGGGCTCTGAGACCAAGCAAGGCTTTTACTGTAAATCCCAGACTAAGTTCTCAGGCCAGTTCAGCTTGTCCTTCCCCATGGGGGTCCTGTCTCTTCAGTCATAACAGCTTGCATCAAGACAATCCATTTAAGGGGGTGGAGTTTAGTGTATTCAGTGTATCTCAGTGCATTTGTCTTGCACTCGGCAGAGTGTTATATTCGTCCAGGATCTCTGGACTTATAGCCGTAAGGGACACAAACGCACATGTCTGTACACTCAAACCCAGGTGACGTGTGCGATCTCCTCTATCCATGAGATTTATGGTGTGTGCACAGACGTGGCAGGAGGAATTGGTTTGCAGAATGCAGGCACCGGCTGCCTACAGTGCTAGAGGCCCAGGCTCCACACTGAGTCTGACGGCCAGTGCGGTAGAGGAGCCTGGAGTGGTGAGCACCCCCTCTCTGGTCAAGAGGTGAAGAGATGCCCCCGTGTGCTCACCTGCACGCAGTCCTGTTCTCTGTGGGCAGGCCGGAGAGGTGTTTGATCGGGGTCTTTAACACAGGCTCTGGGCTCTCTCCTGGCTGGAGCCCCTATTTTTCAGACCATATTCTCACCAATGGGGAACTTCCCTTGTACCCTTTTGGAGTCATTCTTTATCTGCCTCAGAAAAGAACTCCTGCTCATCTCAGTGCTGACTAACTTTAGTTAGCCACACCAGTGTTACTTTGAACAAGGTACATCCTGAAAATGAGCTAACGTGACCCATAAGGAAACCAGGCCTGGAGCTGGAGAGAGAGCCAGTGGGGAGGGTGCTCGCCTTGCATGCAGCCGACCCGGGTTCAGTCCTGGCATCCCAGAAGGTCCCCTAAGCCCCCACTAGGGATAATTGCTGAGTACAGTTGCTGAGTAACCCCTGAGCACACCGGGTGCCCCCCGCCCCGACCCCGCACCATAAAAGGAAACCAGGTCTTGATTTAGTAGCATGTTGATTCTCTTACAGGAAGCCCTTTTTTTTTTATTTCAATCATTTTGGGTAAAGGCCAAATAGTAAATATTTTAGACAGATGGTAGCTCTGGCAATTGTCCCCCACAAAAAAATTAAAAGGGGCAAACAGTCTGCCATAAGCTAAGTCAGTGAGTGAACATGCTTGTGCCTGAATAAAATGTCATTAAATGAGGCATTTGATTGGATTGGGCCCCGGGGGGGGGGGTGGTTTTCTGCCTTTGGGCATAGATTTCAGGGAGTTGTTGGAAATATTAATAATGCAGATTAATTATAAAGGCATTTTTGCATCTATAGCCATGATTCCATGCCTGGCATGAGGAATTGAGAGCGTATCCTTTTGCTTTCCAGAAGCTTCTCTTTAGCTCTGCAGACAAGCTGCTCACTTCAGATACCACCTGCCCGCTACACTCTCACCTTGCCAGTGAACTTATGAATAAATGCTCGTCACGCATGGGCGTATGACCAGATTTGTATGAAGACTTGAGATGCAGGGGCCAGAGCAGTAGCACATACGGCATCCGCCTTGCACACAGCTGGCCCAGATTAGATCCCTGGCACCTGTATGATCCCCCAGGCCTCCCCCAGAGTGATCCCTGAGCAGAGAGCAGGAGGAAGCCCTGAGGTGTGACCCCAAAACCAAAAAAAATGTAATGACAAAAATTATATAATGGGATGTGCAAGAGCCAGCAGATGAAACACGTACTGTAAATACAGAAGGGCCTTTGTCATCATTAAGCTGTGTGCATCAGGGATTTATCACAGTGTAAACCTACCTGTGCCGAGTTACAAAACAGCAGGACAGGAAACAGAAGCCGTGATCAATGGAAGGAGAAATGCGTTCTCCAGCGCCCGTCACACACTCACTCTTCTTCCCCGGCCCCCATGGCTCTGTCTGTCTGTCTCTGGTCCCCGCCACTCGATACCAGGGGAGAGAAAGCGTCTCTCTGTGTCCAGCCCCTTTCACTGCGGCTTCACGGTGTCGGTTTTAATTGGTGAGTTTCGCCCTGTGTCTATTCACGGGAGATGTTTGATCTTGATTCTTCGGGCCTGTGCCATACAAATGCGGCTCACAGCGACAGTGGGGCCTTCTTCGTTCTCTCCCTAGACAGAGTGACCTGGTTCCCCCGCAGCAGACAGCCGGGCTCCACTCAGTGGGAATGTGGGAGTGTGGCGGGTTCTGCATCTGGCCTCTGAGCCTGAGGGTAGCCAAGCTGGCATCACCAGCTCCTGGCTGTGTGCTCACCTCGAAGCCCAGCTACTCTGATCCTCTCATGTCCTCTGTGGCGCTCAGAAGGTCCTGAGCGAGGCCCCCCTGAGAGCCCAGATGGGGTGGGGGGGGAGGGTATCGTCTCACCTCTGCGCCCTGTGGATGCTCATTGGGCACACTGCAGACTACACTCACCTCGCCCCCTTCTCAACCCTCCTTTCTTTTGGGGAGGGAGGGTCACACTCCATGATGCTCAGGACTTACTCCTGGTTCTACCCTCAGAAATCACTCCTGATGGTGCTCAGAGGACCCTGTGGGATGCCGGGGATCCAACCCGGATCAGCCGCATGCAAGACAAACGCCCTCCCCACTGTACTATCACTCTGGCCCCTCAACCCTCCTTCTTAGCGCGGGGTAATGGGGTGTCAGCCTCAGGAAAAGCAGTCCTTCCCTTTTTCAAACTCAGAACACATCCTCTGCCTCCGCCCAACCCCCCCATCTTCCTCCCTGGAGCCGATGCTGGTGCTCCCCCAGACTCCTTCCTCCTTGAAGGGTTGGGCCAGAGGCTCTGGGCAGAAACCAGGGAACATTTGCTGAGTTCGACTGGAACATTCCCAGTAAACTGTGCCCTCCGCCCTGCAGACTAGAATCGGGGGTCTCGGTGTAGGTTATTGTTTGACAGAGGCGCTGGGGCTTTGCTTTGTTACCTTGCAGTTTGCCAGGCACCAGCTGACGCCCTCCAGGGTGCAGTTTGGAGCTGGATCCTGACTCCGGCTTTGCCCTTCTCTGCTCTGGAGCCTGTTGGTCTCCGCTTTCATTACCAACACTCTGATCTCAAGTTGAAGGCATCCGGTAACCAGGCCAACACCAATTACAGAGCTGTGGGCCTGCGCGGTAACCAGGCAACCCTGAGGTCCTCTTCTCTGTGGGCAACAAGCCAGGAGGGGACACAGTCTGGCAGGGACTGTTGGAAATGCCCAGTGTGGACGCTGCGTTCATGATGTGGGCTGCATTCAGACTGTGGACACGGTGCTCATGGTATAGACTCTGTTCATGGTGCAGACTCTGTATTCATGGTATGGCCTGCGTTCGTGGCATGCACGCATGTTCACGGTGCAGATGCAGTGCTGACGGTGCTGTGTGTCCCCCCCCCCAACCCCCAGATCAAGTTCGACAGCGTGGAGGTGTGTGTCTGCTGTGAGGTGCGGCACCAGCCTTCCGGATGCAGCAACCTGGGCGAGACGCTGAAGTTGAACCCGCTGCGGGATGACTGCGACGCCGTGAGGCTGACCCTGAAGGTGACCCTGCGCTGCCCCCGCCCCTGCCGGACACCGCCGGACCCTCGGACCCTTGCACTGCCCAGATCCCAGACCCTGGCACCCCCGCCCCGCCCTGCCCCTCCCCCGCTGGACCCTGCCATCTTCCCCACCCTCAGCCCCCTTTCACCCGCACCACCCAGACCCTACTGCCTCCCGCAGAGCTCGGACCCTGGCACCCCCGCATCATCCCCACTGGATCCTGGTCCTGCTACCCCCCCCACATCGCCCCCTCCCCCCATCCCCAAACCCACAGGACCCTGACATCCCTCCCCCCACTCACCTGCACATGGCCCTGCCATCCTGCATCATCCCAGGCCCCGCAGCTCTTCCCTCCAAGTCCCCACACCCTGTCCCCATCCAGCACCCCAACCCACCCTGCACCCGTAGTCTGGCCCAGGCCTCGCAGGCCCCTTGGGAAGAGTCTTCAGCTCTTGCCAGCGAGGCCCTGTCTCTCCTGAGGCCCTTTTCCTGGGTCACACCTGGATCTTCACTCTCTGGTTGGTTTGTAGCGAGGGGCCACATCCCATGGCTCAGGGCACTCATGGACCCGCTCTAAGCCTGCCCCAGGAGTACGGTGTCTGGCCCAGACGTTTTGAGAAATCACGGTGCTGTTTCCCAGGATGGCCGACCAGCCCACATTGCTACCACCCCGAGATCCCCGAGTCTTCTTCTCATCAGTGGGCGTTGGCTGGAGGGGTGGGCCCCTCCCCTCAGTGTGCAGGAGGTCGGAGGTGGGGGTGCCCAGCAGTGGTGCTTGACCAAACAGGCCGGAGCCCCTGTGGAAGGTTCCAGAGGGCGGGGTGCTGCTCAGCCAGCCCTGCAGTGCCGGGGATCCCAGGGCTACCGGGGCAGTGCAGGGGACCTTCAAGGTCGAGCCTGGCAGTGCTCAGGGATCCGTGTGCTGCCGGGAATCCAGCCTGGGTCTGGTGCATGCGAGTGCTGTGCTCTAACCACTGTGTGTTTGCAGCACTCAGAGGAAGCACAGCACAGAGTGTAAGGTTCCTCCTGGACCGGAGTGACTGGGGGCAAGGAGGGGCCCCTGCGTGGGATCGTGCTCTGCTCTGGTCCAGGGATAAGGTGCCGCTGAGGCTCAGCTGTGCTGGGGGCCACCCAGATGAGATCTGAAGCCTCAGGGGACCCTCCAGGACTTTGTCCAACAGTGCCTAGGGGACCATGTGAGACGGGGTCCAACTTGAGTCTTCCTGAGCACAGGGCATGATCTCAGAGCCCTGAGCCCCTGCCAAACCCCCAGTGGTCGAGACACACACTGGGCATCTTTCCCCTGCTGTGACTCCCCCTGCATCTCCCGCTCTCTGTCACTTGGGCAGATGCTCGGAATCCACCTGCACGAGTGACACTGTGCAGGGCAGCCCACGGTGCATCCACCTGTCCGAGCTGGCCAGGCTTGTTTTCCCGACATTCCTGTAAGCCAGGATCTGTTCTAGCCCCGATTTCCTTCATTTGATTAGACTAACACTTACAAAGTGGCCAGCGGCAAAACTCATTACCCACAGCGAGAGACCGTTTACACCCTTGCCATTTTGAGTGACCCTGTAAGGAGATTTTCTAGAACATGGATTTCAGGGCTTGCTAAGGGCTCTGATAGAGTTGTAAAGGAATTATTTAACCAAGAATGATAATTCCAAAGGAATAAAAGCTAACGTGATCCCAGGCAGTCATGCACTTGCCTAGAACAGAGCTTTTTTTTTTTTGGCCTTGACCCTGTTGGTGCTCAGGACTTACTCCTGACTCTGTGCTCAGGAATTACTCCTGCTGGTGCTTGGAGGACTATATGGGATACCCGGGATTAAACCTGGGTCAGGCACATGCAAGGCAAATGCCTTCCTCACTGTTCTATTTCTCCAGCCTCCAAAACTGATTATTGAAGCAGGTGGAAGCAGGGGCCGGGGAGATGGATGTTTCAGTGTGTTGGGGTGCACACCTTGCACACAGGAACATCCTGATTCCCTTGCTCACGTCTCTGAGGATGGGCCTGGGGACCTCAGCCTTTGCATGGCCCAGGCCCTAAAGACTGGCCCAGTTCCTGGCCCCAGGAAAGCAGCGGTTCCTCATGTCCTTGTCTCCGGGTCTGCTCTGAAGCATCCACTATCCTTCCCCTGCCGCGCGTGCTGTCCCCTGCCGATTGCAGCATCAGAGTCACCATCCCCATCTCTGGCTGCCTCTGACCTTTGCAGCAGTTTCTCCCAGGGCTGCTCTGCCTTCCCTATCCCTGAGCACAGATTCCGCCCAGGCGTGGGTGGGGCCCTGCAAGAGGCGACCCTCCCTAGCTTGGGCGAGCACATTGCTGATTCATTCCCAACATCCTCTCTCTACAAAGAGAGCTCCTCCCTCCAAAATCAAATCTAAGCCTGGACTCTTCTCCTTGTCCCCACATGCACCTGGACCCGCTCCCTCTTCCTCCCCCCCCCACCCTGGCGGTGTTCATCCTGGTCCTCTCTGGCAACCACAGAAGCCAGGAGGCCACTGGAGATGGCCCAGGCACAGGGCTGGGGCAGGAACCCCCCCCAGCAGTCACTTGGGGAATGGAAGTGAAAAGCCTCAGAAGAGCACATCACAGGACCTAGGCTGGACCAGAAGTAGCCCCAGAAACAGTGCGGAGGTCCCAGGACATGGACAGCAGGGTGGGGACTGGGCGTGCTGGTTTTGCACCCTATTGGTGTGATTGGCCTGGATGCTGATTAAACTTGGAGTTCCCTGACTCCCAACTAGAGGTGTTGGGGGAACAGGCTAGTTCTCCTGCCACCTGCCCCCACCTGCAGGTGACTCCAAAAGGCTTGGGGTTGGGGCTGGAGCAATAGCACAGCGGGTAGGGTGTTTGCCTCGCACGTGGCCTACCCGGGTTCGATTTCCAGCATCCCATATGGTCCCCTGAGCACCGCCAGGAGCAATTCCTGAGTGCAGAGCCAGAAGTAACCCCTGTGCATCGTAGGGTGTGACTCAAAAAGCAAAAAAAAAAAAGGCTTGGGGTTCTCGAGTCTGAAACTCTGGAGTCCCCAATATCTGGATAAATAGATCTTGGTCTTCTGAAAGACCAAATATATGTACGTATGTGAGTGTTTTATAAGTAGCAGTCAGTGCAAAAGTGCACAGGATGTTTCTTGCGCCTGCATGGGTGTCTACATTCATCTCAGTATTAAAATTCAATTAAAAAAAACAACTTGGCATTTGGGACTGGAGAGATCGTTCAGTGGGTAAGGTGTGTTCTTGCACGCAATCAACCCGGGTTCAGTCTCCAGCACCCCCTTGCACTGCCAGGAGTGTTCCCTGAGCACAGAGCCCGAAGCACTGCCACGTGTAGTAGCCTCCTGCCCCTCCCCCAAATGAGCCAGACAAACCATTTGATTGAATACCTATAGAACTCTGGGTTACATTGGGTAACTGTAAAGGTGGCTGGCAGTTGGCTGCTTAGAGAGTTTTTAGGGGAGTGGCTACCTCCTGGTCACATCACAGACATCAGGAAGGCCCTCTGGTGTGTGAGCATACCTCGTTCGTGCTGCGGTAGAGGCAGTGCTGTGCCTTCCACAGACCAGGTTTGGCCCTGAAAGACTCACACGGCAGAGCCACAAGCCGCGTCTCCAGCCCACCTCACGCCTGCCCTGGAAGAAGCGCCGAGGACTGCCCCCTGGCTGACCCTCGCCCCTTCTCCCTGCAGGACCTCCTCTTCAGCGTGTGTGCCCTCAATGTCGTCTCCACCATCGTGTGTGCCTTGGCCACTGCCATGTGCTGCATGCAGATGGTCTCCTCGGATGTCCTCCAGATGGTGAGTTCCTCCTGGGCCCCGCCCCCAAGCCTGAGGTCCCGCCCCATGCCCGAGGCCCCGGCCACAGGCCCTACCGGAGTTTCCGCTCTGTGCTTGAGACCCCGCCCCCATGTTTAGGCCCGCCCCTTGCCTGAGGCCCCGCCCCATATCCGAGGCCCTGTGCTTGGCCCCGCCCCATGTCTAAGCCCCACCCCATTCTGAGTCTTGGGCCCCAGGCCTGAGGCCCTGCCCCCTTCGTGGCCCGCCCTCTCCCTCCCCCCGAGCCCCGCCCACCGCAGACAGTGACCACTCACAGCTTCCACCCAGAATCCACAAGGACAATAGATGTGAAGGTCTTTGGAGGCTGCCCACTTCCTAGCCACCAGGGACCCTGGGTCTTGGGCACCTTTTGATATGCTGGTCTTGGGCATTGTCGGGGCACAGTGAACCTTCTGGCGCTTTGCAGTGATCTTAGTGGCAGCCCCGTCTCCCTACACATCCTCTGAGCCTTCCACCTCCAGAATTCCCAGGTGCCTGCCGGAGTCCCCTTCTGCTAAAGGATGCTTGTTGACAGATGAGCTCTGGGTGTGCAGAAAGAGTGCATCTGCGCTTCTGGCGTCTACCCAATCACCAATCTGCGGTTATATTCCAGGGCAGGTCACCAGCTGGTCACCCTGTGACACACGGACCAGGGTCTAACAGAAACAGCAGCTATTCTCGGGAGGGGTCCAGCCAAGGCCAGGAGCAGGTGGTCACGCACTTATTAATACATGCTTGATAAATAATGAAGGCTTTTAGTTACAGCATGGATGGAATGCAGTCTCCACCCCTCCTCTCTGCTCCCACATCCTCCCCAGTGTTTCATGCATCTCCTGAAAAGAAAAGCAAGTCCCCCTTCTGCTAAAGTGTTTTTATTTGTTCTTCCTTGTACACTGTGTAGTAATGCACCAGTTAATCAGGAGACAGCCAGAGAGAAGCATGAGGGGACATTAAGAATTCACTGGCTCTAATCGTATGCAGCCAGCAGCCCTCTGCCCGGTGCAGACGCACACAATACACAGCAGTCCCCCCCAGGGCTCCCTGCTCCTGGGAGTCTCTAATTAAGCACTTCTCAGTGGCGATGACCTGGCTTTGGTCACCAGAGCCCAAGAGTTAGTGATTTTCTCCAGTACGTCGGGTGAAGGGAAGGTTAATGACGGCGGGGTTCTCCCCACCTCAGCAGATTTGACTCTCAAGCTATACTATCACCCCATTTTCACCAAGCACACAGAACCAGAGCACTGGAACTGAAAGCCAGGGGTGAGAAGGAAGGGAGACCCCCTGCTGTCGGGGGCGGGGCACAGTCACTACCACACACGCAGACGATGGGGGCAGTGTGGGGCCTCTGGATCTGAAGCCCACCGGTCTGCGCAGGAATTTTGCCTCCCAATATGGACCTGCTTGCGCTATGGCCCCTGAAGCGCTGACCTTAACAAAACGTCACCCTAAAGCTTGGCTTTCACTGATTCCTAGCTGCACTGTCCTCGCCACAGCAGTATCCTGCAGGGAGCATATCACAGGTGGGGTAACTGAGGCACAGGGAGGGTTAGTGACGGGGTCAGCGTCACAGGCTTTCCATGCCCAAGAAGCAGAATTCCCACACAGACCCAGAGACTGATGCTCTCAGACGCCAGGTCCTGTGAGCCCCAGGAATGGTCTGGAGACCACCCCACCCCACCACATTCTGGTGTCATCGAGCGGCCTTCAGAGAGGGGGTGTAGGGGTGATGCATGTGGTCAGACATCCAGGGCACCGAAGCCGTCAGGCTGCGGGAGCAAGCACAGACGCTTCCCGCTGAGTCTGGCAAGTGCCTTTGATGCATGCATGCAATCGACCTATTTAGGTCCTGTTGTTTTGTTTGGGGGCCACCCTCAGCAGTGCCTGGGGCTTACTCCTGGCTCTGCACTCACTGATCATTTCTGGTGGGCTCAGGGGACCTTAAGGAATACTGACGATCGAACCTGGGTCTGCTGCGTTCAAGGCAAGCACCTCACCTGCTGTACTATCTCTCCAGTCCTCCATTTGGTTCTTGATTGGGGATTCATGACCTGGGGTTTCCTACGCAGAATCCCAGCAGTTTCATAGCTCAAAGTTCTCAACTTGAAGGAAGAGAGACAGAGACACAGAGAGAGAGAGAGAGGGGTGGGGGGAGAAACAGAGAGGAAGAGAGAGACTCCTGCCGAGCCCCGTGTAGCCACAGACTAGGGACCCCCCTCCCCGAGGTACCACTCTCCTTAGTGGGCTCTCAACCTGCAGGACCACCACAGGACGGGGGGGGGGGGGGTGTGGAGGAAACCAGCTGGTAGCCTTGGCACCTTACACACCAGCCTGACCTTGGACAGGACCCTTGGGCACCTTGGGGTGGAGACGGGGCTGGCAGCAGGAGTGGGACTTGCCCTTGCCATTCCCACAGGGTTGATCCCAGGACTGGGGACCAAGGGTTTCCTGCTGCAGGAGCAAAGGGGCGGCCAGATGACAGGCGGGGACAGAGTGGGCAGGCACTGGTGCCCGCGCGCCCCCTGCTGGTAGGAGCAGGCCAGGGCACACAGTGACTGAGAGCTGGACACAGGTGTTGGAGTCCTTTCCCCAGAGGGGCGGCGAGCCTGCTGCTTGCCAAAGGGCGGCCTGGAGTTCCTGTCCCCCTAACCGCTCTGAGACCCTCCCGGGCCTGGCTCTCTGCTGCTGGGCACAGCTCTTTCCCCGGGAAGGTCGGGGCACGTGCATTTCCGCCTGAACCGCTGACCGATCTTCCCATTTCCCCTTGAGACATTTTCAGAGCAGCTCGTCTGACCTCAGGGTCGTGGGCACTGGTCCTTGCGCTCAGCCCCGAGCAATTGAGCGGGGTGCTGCAGGCTAAGAGCATCCTGAGACAGAGTCCGCCCCCCACACCCCCATCTCCCGACCTGGCCTCTGATACCCCCCGTTTTCCAGACAATTAGACAAACAAAGCCAAGGTCAGCGCAGCTGCAAAGGCGAGGACGTGCTCTGTGTGCTGAGAGAGAGGCTTGGACGCGGCCCTGGGTCGGCTGTTTCAAGACTCAGCCACCACCAGCCAGGGCGCAGCAGCAGGTCACAACTCAGCCACCCCAGCCACACCACAGCTGCAAGCCACGACTCAGCCGCCCCAGTGGGCCACGGCACAGTCACCGACAGCCACACCACTGCTGTGGAAACTTTCTCCACTCTTGATTTCTTTTTACCCTAGAAATATTTACACAAATCTGGAAGTTTTCTAGAAATATAGAGGACACCAGATACTGATGATAAACATAAAGACATTTATTTTTATTAAGCACGTGGTTTTGTTACGCAGCCCCGTATAGAGTAATGCGCCGCGGTTTAAGATGGTAAAGCACAAATGGTACTTTGGGGCCGTAGCGATAACTCAGCACGGAGGGATCCTGCCTTGCACGCAGCTGGCCCAGGTTCAGTCCCTAGCACAGGGTCCTCAAGCACAGAGCCCGGAATCGGCCCCGAGTGCCTCCAGGTGTGGCAGGTTCATTTGCTTACAAAACGGCCTGCAGGATGAGTTGGGCAAATCAGAACCAGCCTGGACAGCTGAGACCAGCCAAGTGCCCGGAAGCAGCCAGTGGCTGAGGCTGGTTCTGGCCATGACAGCTCTGGCACAGGACCCTCTTCACCCCGGGACCTTCCCCACACTGAACACAGATAACACAGAGCAAGGGCAGAAGAGCAAAGCACGTGGGCACCGATCTGGGGCGTGGGCATGGCTGCCTTGGCAGAGAGCAGACAGCAACGCCCTCCATCTCCCCACACCCTTCCCGAGGCATCTGCTCACAGGACCATCTGGCAGAAAAGGCTTGGGGTGGGGGGCTGGGCACTGGAGAGCCCCTCTCGGCCTCACACACACATCCAGCCCTTTGCACATCCACCCCTGCTCCCAGCATCTTGACTCTCAGCCTGCCCTGGAATGTTCTAGAGACAAGACACAAGGTGGGTGCCCTCCCCACTGAGCTATCGCTCCCGCCCAAAACTAACAGTTATTTTTTTATCATCTTAAAGCATGGCTCGTAACCTCATGTGGGGCTGTGTAACAAAAACATGCTTTAAAATAAATGTCTTTGGGGCTGGAGCGATAGCACAGCAGATAGGGCATTTGCCTTGTACACAGCTGACCCGAGTTCAATTCCCAGCATCCCATATGGTCCCCTGAGCACCGCCATGAGTAATTCCTGAGTGCATGAGCCAGGAGTAACCCCTGTGCATCGCCGGGTACGACCCAAAAAGCAAATAAATGTCTCTATATTCGCTGTCAGTTGATATCCGACCACGGATGGGTTACTCCAGATGAGACCGGTGCCCACAATGAGACTGGTGAGAAATGGCCGTCCGCAACTGAGTGAACAGGTGGCACGCCAATGCCAGCACGGGGCCTCTGACATTCATGCCCGCTGGGGCTGCAGTGCTATACCTGGAGAGAGAGGGGACTGGTGTTTTCTCACAGCGACTTGGGGAACTCTGGCCATCAGATCCCCTTGCCCAAAGCCTCTGGGGGCGGGGGGGGGAGGGCAGTGCAGAGAGGTGAGGGCTGGGCACAGGTGGTCCCAGCGGAAGGAGGCGGCTCTGCTCTCCGTGATGGTGGGCGGCAAAGCGTGCTGAGGCTCAGAGATCAGGGTCCCCCTCCCCACACCCCCGAGGCTGTGCTCCACCGGTCTTGCGCCTTCCCCTGTGGCCACTGGTGCTTCCGTGTGGTCGGCCGTGGCAGGGTCCCACCCCCATACCCGTTCTCTCTCCCTGCAGTTCCTGCCGCAGAGGGCGCACTCGGCCAGCCCCGCCTGCCTCACGCCGCACGGCACCATCCTCCAGCACGCCCTGGACTTCGATGAGTTTGTCCCCCCTCTCCCGCCTCCGCCCTATTACCCCCCTGAGTACACCTGCACGCCCACAGCCGAGGCCCCCAGGTGTGTCTTCTAGGGCGGGGGGGCCGGTAAATGGGGGTACTGTGGGGGGAACACAGTCTGCAAGGCCCAAATTCATTTCCAGTCTCAGAATTGTGCAGCAGGCCCACCAGACCAGAGACCGGACCACAGAAGATGGCGGCTGGGGAAAGGCGTGTGTGTGTGTGTGTGTGTGTGCATGGACACGTGCGTTTATGTGTTTGTACTCATACGTGTTATGTAGGTACATATGTGTGTATAAATGTTTGAATTTGTACATGTATGTGTGCATATGTATGTTTGTGTGCACATGTGTGTGTATTCATATGTGTATGTGTGTGTATTTTTGAGAGGAAGAGGGACCTTTCCCATCAGCCATGATGCTGACCATCTGCATGAGGACACTCTGGGGAGTACCAGGCGAGGTTTGGGGTACACAGAGAGGTGGCCCCGGGGTGACGTGGGCTGGTCCTGCATTTCCAGGGGCCTCCAGCTGGACTTCGCCGCGTCTGCCTTCAGCGCCTTGTATGATGTGGCCATCAACAGCCCCGGCTTGCTCTACCCCACCGAGCTGCCGCCGCCGTACGAGGCTGTGGTGGGCCCCGGGCCTGCCAGCCAGGTGAGCCCCCTGAAGACCAGTGCCTGGCGGGCAGGACGTGCTCCTGGACCCCGCATTTGGGCATGTCTTCAGCCCTAGTGTAGACTGGGCAGCTGCCCACCAGATGCTCTCACCGCCCGAAGAACGGGTTCTGGGACAAGCCCAGGAGAGTGGCACCAGAGTCAGGGGCTCACCTTTGAGGCGAGGGGTGGGGGTGGGGGGTTCTTGTGATCACAGGCCCAGGCTGGGTGGGCAGCAGGCCCGTGGTGTTGAGGGGCAGGAGGGAACCAGAAGTGCTCCTGGGAGAGGGGTCAGCCTGAGTAAGGCCCTGGAGATTGGGGCAGGGGGGCGGGGGGCAGCCTTGGGGACCTGGAGTGAGCCGCTGAGCTGTGGTCTGTGGAACCCTGGGTCGTCAGGGCAGCCCAGGTGAGTGTCCATAGGGTGAGGGGGGCTGCGGTTTGGGGACCTGGAACGACCGGGGCTCACCCGCAGAGGGGTCACTGGACCCTGGGCAGCTGGGGAGGGCGCCAGGGAGAGGGAGACCCTGGGGGTGGCCCCAGAATAAAGATGGGTGCATTGGGGGCTTCCTGCCGGGGATCCAACCAGGAAGGGTCCCCTAAGCTGGTACCCCCGTGGGTCCGCTATGACCCTGGGTGAGTGTCTGACCTCAGTGCGGCCAGCTCCCCACGTGCTTGTCAGTCCAGCATCAGCCCTTGGTCGTGGGGCCCTGCCCTGCCGTCTGCAGTCTGCATGGCCCGGCTGTGCCCAGCTCACTCGCAGTCCAGCGGGGGCGTCAGTGCTGGGGCTGGTTGGTGCTCCCGGGATCTGCATGGAGGCTGGCCAACGCGCAGAGATGCAGGTGGGGGTGTGGCCTACCCCAGCCTCAGTTTACCCTTTTGCCACCTCTGGGGTCTGCCCACCCCTCCCAGTGGCCTGCTGGTCGCTGCTGTAGATGCTGACACTCTCCTTGGACTGTGGGACAAACGGCTTCTGAGTGCCTCCGCTGGGCCTGGGGAGAGGGAGCTGGGACTGAGGGCTTGGCCTGTGCCAGGGGTCGGGGGCCGGCAGGGGTGGGGGCTGTTTCAGACTGTCCTGGGGGCTTGGGTGGGAAGGGGGCAGGGCGCTGGCACAGAAGGCCGGAGCTCATGTTCCCTGACAGCCGCCGGGTTTAACCCTGGTCTAAACAGCCAAGTGCCACACCCCTCCCCCCCCAAAAAAAAGAAAGATTGCAAGGAAACGCAGAAGTCCACTTCCTGCCACAGCAGGCGAGCTCCTGAGATCTGGCCAGCCCCTGAGACTGGGCACTGCCCTCTGGGGAAGGAACGGGCGGAACCCCTCCCCGGTGGCCCACGACCCGCTCCAAGAGCCCTGACTCCTGCTTACCCGGCAGTGCCCGCTCCGCCCCGTGGGTGGGAGTGGGAAAGAGAACAGAGGGGGATTAAGCAGGGGCCTGGGGGTGCAGAGGGAACTCGGGGTACTGAAGGGGCTGCTGAAACGCCCACGTATGAACTTGGGGCCAGGCGTGGGACCGCGGTGAAGGCCGGGCAGGATGGGCGCTTGGGACTGCCCGGCTGCAGTAGCGGCCCAGCCTCAGTGGCCACTGCGGGCAGGTGGGCAGTGACTGTGAGAAGAAACGGCCTCAAAGTTACCATTTCGATGCTCAAACAGCCTGACCTTGACATTTAAAAACTTCATCCAGGCTCTTCCAAATGCCCTTGAGACAGGAGCCTCCAATCTCCTTTCCATCGAAAAACGCCAGAGGTGGGGGTGGGGTGGGAGGAGGGGGGGGCGGTGGCTGGGGCGTGGCGGTTAGAGCCACATCCAGCGGTTCTTGGGGAGCCCAGTGTATGGAGTCCTGGGATCAAACCGGGCTAGGCCATGGACAAGGCGGGCATCAGCAGCCCCACTGTTCTCTGTTCTCTCCCTCTCCTCTCTCTTCCTTTCTCTCTCTTCTTCCCTCTCTCTCTCTCTCTCTCTCTCTCTCTCTCCACCCCTTTCCCTCTCTCCCCCTTTCCTCCCTTTCTCTCTCCCCTCTCCCTCTCCTCTTCCCCACCCTCTCTCACTCACTCGCTAGCTCTTGCTCTCTCTCCCACGCGGCTCTTTCTTGCCTCTGCTTTTTGTGGGAGGCGGGGGGGGGGGGGGCGATGCTGAAGACCATCAAGGCATCTCTGAGGATGAATGGTTCCGGTGCTGAAGGATTCCAGGGTCACCTGCACCCCTCCCTGCCTGCACGCTCCGCCCCTCACCTCACCTTCTGGCTTCACAGTCTCAGCCTTCAAACCATTTCTTCCCCTGAGCCTCGGTTTTGTCTAAGCAGCCGCGGGAACCTGGGTTCTTCAAAGCAAAGCCCTGGCCCCTGCTTGTGGGGGCGATTGACGTGCCCCCACCCGCTGCCTTCTCCCGCAGCTGAGCGAGGCCCAGAGCTGGGGAGAGCCCCGAGAGGCTCGGCAGAACAGAAACCCAATCCAGTCTCCTCCTGACCTTGTCCTGCTCTAGGTCGTATTTCTCTTGTTTGATTGATACTTCTTTATTACCTGCAGAGGGTTTTTTTTTTGGGGGGGTGGGCGGGGGCAGCAGTTGTCAGTGTTGCTGTCCACCCCTGCAAAAATAAAAATGACAGACAGATAGAAGGTTTGTGCCGGAAGAGGAGCAGGGAGGGAGGAGATGGTCTAAGGATGGCTGGGTGCTTTTTGTTTGCTTGGGGGGAGGGGGGATCCGGGGGCCAGTTCAGTGATGCCCACTGAGTGGACGGCGCCTGGGCCTGGCGACTTCTTGTTGACGAGGCCCAGAGGTGTGGTGGTGACTAGGGCCACACCTGGCTGTGCGGGCCTCAAATCCAAGGCTTTTGCCAGGCACCAGCACCCCCTCCCCCTCCCAGCCCTGCACTGTCTCCCCAGGCCCACACCAGCAGCGAATTCTGGGCAGAGAAGGGGTGGGGGATGCAAAGTGATGGGGGTCCCCTTAGCAGAGGGGGCACAGAGAGAAAGGATGAGGGTACACATTAGACAGGTGGAGAACGAGCGGCCACATTGGACAGGCGTACATGTGGGCAGCTGGGGCTTCCTGCTGGTGGGTGGGGGTGCCCCTCCCCCTGTGCCCCAGCTGGCACCCCCACCTCCTCCATCCCCCTGCAGCGGGATGGGCTGCTTCCATGAGGGGCCAGACTCTACTTCTAATGCCACTGTGATTGCAGCCGAAGCAGCAGCGGTGAGACGGGGTGGCAGGAATGGGAATGTAATTACGGGAACTGGGACGGACCAGCCCAGGGGCCTCCCCGCGGCTCCCTATTCGTACATCTGTTCCCCCGAGTGATTGCAAAATAACGGGGAGAGCGGGCTGCCTGTGGCAGAGTCAGGAGAGGGCTCTGGTGCAGGCGGATGGGGGTGGGAGAGGGACACACAGCCGGGAGCCCCCTCACCCCTCGGCTGCAGGCAGAAGGGCTCACTCGGAGGCAGGGCAGTCCCGCAGCCCTGGAGAGCAGCGTGCCCATGGCTGAGCTACTGCAAGATGCGGCTAGCTCATTCCTGGCACCGCCCCCACCCCTCCGACTCACCAAGAGCGACAGAAACACCTCACCCCCACTCCAAGCCTGCTGACCCCGTGTTCAGGGCAGTGGCCAAGAACTGGGATGGCGGTGGCAGAGCCTGCCCTGCAGTGGCCGGGAACCTGGCCGGGGCTAACACGGGCTGCCGACAGCTGAGCACAGGCCGAGCACGCGGGAGCCCTGGGGTCTGAGGAACCAGGAGCGACCCCCAAGCACAGAGCACTGCCGGTGGCGCCTCTCCCCAGAAAGCACATCACCTCCCAAGTCAGCCTTTGCTTCTGAGTTCCCTTCCTCCAGGCTGGAGACGCCCCCCTCCAGTCCCCCTGACCCACCCTGTGTGTCTCACTGTAGCTGGCAGGTCCGGATTTGCAGGGGATCGAGTCCAGCTCCCGGGCCCCGGGCCCCACCGCCGGCTTCAACACCCAAGGTAAAACTTTCTGGGGCTCACACACCGAGCTGCCCCCCCCCATCAAATCTTGTTTCTTAAGAGGGTGCCCCCTTGTAGCTCCACCCTGCCTGAGCTAAGTCAGTTAGGCTGGCACACACTTCGGGAGGATATTGGAGGCCCGGGGGCGGGCCCCGTCTTCCGTCCTGAGTTTCTGACTTAGAGGATCTGGCGGGCTGAGAATTTGCCTTGGAGGCCCGGGGCCAGGCTCGCGCTCTGAGCTCAGCTGGTGTCACTGAGATGCTGGCCTGCCCATGGGGGACCCACCCTGGCTATTCGCAGACCCCCATCCCTTTCTCTGCTCTTGGGCCCCCTGTGGTCACTGTCCCCCCACTCCCGGGTCACCTGCTGAGCACATTTGCCTCCTGTCTATGTTCCCCACCACCCCCAAGGCTGAGTCTGTCTGGTTTAGGGTGCGGGGAGCCGGCACCGTCCACACCCCTGACACCGCGTCCTTGCCTTTCAGCAGCAGCTGACAGCACCAGCCTCCCGGTGACTGAGGGCCCCTCCACTCCCGGCCCGAGCCGCCTGGCCCCTGATGGTCCCTCAGGAGCACCCCTGCCCCCAGTGGCAACCCAGCACTCCAGCTGCATGTCCCCCAAGGACAGGGACCAGGACACGCAGACACAGCAGAGCCCTGGGCGCGTGACCCGCTCGGCCAGCGACCCCACTTCCTGCGTCTACCACGCGGCAGGTATGACCGGCACTCACCTCTGTCCGGATGCCAGCGAAGCCCAGGGCCATGGGGTGGGGTGGGTGGGGGGAAGTGGGGCCTGGTGTCCTAGCCTCTGCGGCCGGCCCTGCCGGCTCGCCACTCTGGCCAGGTAGGGCAGATTGGAGGGTCTGGGGGCTGATGAGAGCGGGCGGGCAGGGTGGCCAGTGGCACCAGCAGCTGCAGATCCAGGAGGAGCCTCCGGGCTCAGGCCAGATCATCAGCTTAGTGGGCAAACACGTATGCGAGCAGGCACGCAGGCACATGTGACCACGACCCCATGACCGCAGCACACATGTGAGCACAGATACGCACATGCAGGCACACGTGGACACACCTGCCCACTCTGCCTGCTTCCTCATCTGCCTAGCTGGGCCCCCGACTTTGTACTTGGGGGTTGTGCCCATCCACACTCAGGGACCCTCATGGCCAGGGTGGATCCGGGCTCTGACCTGCAGAACCAGAGCTTGCCTGTCGACCGGCCCCCCAGATGGGACTTCTCCGCTCCAGGGGGCTGTAGCCCCTCAAGAGTTGTACCAGTTTGGGTGGAAGTTCCCAGTTTAGCTGGGAACCCCACGATTGCAGCAGGAAGCTCGCCCCGACACTCTGTCACTGGGTCTGACCTTGTCCCTCTCTCTCTCTCCCTCTCCCCTCTCCCTCCCTCTTTCTCACTCTCCCTTTCTCTTCTCCCTCTTTCTCTTCTCTCTCCCTCTCCCTCCCTCCCTACTCTCCTTCCCTCTCCCTTTCTCTTTCTCTCCTCTCTCCTCCTCTCTCTCCTCTCCCTTTCCACTCCCTCTCTCTCGCTCTGTCTTTCTCTCCCTTTCTCCGCTCCCTCACTCCTCTCTCTCTCTGTCTCTATGTCTCTCTCTCTCTCCGCCCCCCCCTACCCCCCTCAGCTGGTCTGCGTCGCTCTGTCACAGCGTCCTGTGCTCGCCGAGGCTTCCGGGACACTGCCACCTGGAAGCCCCACACACGCTCCAAGCCTGACGCCTTCCAGCCTCTGGCCAAGGAGCGACCGTGTGCCGTCACAGACAGCCAAGCCTATGCCACTGATGCGCGGGTGCTGGTGGCAAAGTTTCTGGAACATTCGAACTGCGCCCTCCCTCCCGAGGTGCGGCACGTGGTGGGCCCCGTGTGCCCTGCCGGGCCCCCAGAGGAGCGGTGCGTGGACGAGACCCTCCTTGGCACTGGGCTGCTGGACCAGGTGTGATGCCAGTGCCGCAGGTCCGGATGCAGAGGCCCAGAGACGGGCACTTCTCCCCTGGACGCCTCCCCTCTTTGGGGGTGCAACTGACGCCACTTCCCAATGGATCCAGCGAGTGTGGGGAAGGGACTCTGCCCCCACCATGAGCACGTGGACCCTGGGCCATGTGGGGCCTGGTGACAGCTGGCCTGGGGTTTCCCCACTCCTGGCGGATGACACAGTCTCGAGCGCTCACATGGCCAGGTCACCCCTGCCCAGCACCCCGCAGGCAGGGCTGTAGGGACCCCAGAGCCCAGGGACCACCCCACAGGGCCTCCCTCCCTGGAGAGGCAGAGGCTTCAGGGGGAGGACCCCCTACATGCCCTCTAGGTGCTCCCCACTTCCTCTTGTCATCCCCTCAACCCTGTTCATTACCTAATGAGGCCACAGCAGCCCCAGAGACCTCTGACACCCCGCCCCCGCAAGCGTCCCCTTCCCGGGCCTGAGGCTACGGCAGCACTTGCCATGTGTCAGGGGTCACCAGGCCCAGCCTCCCCTGGGTCAGTTCCCCAACCCCTCTGCTCCCTGCTGCTGTCACATCAGACGCAGCCTTGACCCAGCAAGGGACGTGGAGCAGCGCTGGGCTGCCTGTTAGAGCTTTCCAGAGGTGGGCCCCACTGTCCACAGGGGCCACCACTACCCTTGAACAGAGCCGCCCACTGGCAGCCAGATGGCGCTGGACAGCAGGTGCCACAGCTCTGCGGCGCCCCCTGGTGGCATGTGCGTGTGTGCGTGTGTGGTTGTGTGTGTGTGTGTGTGTGTGTGTGTGTGTGCGCACGCACGCGTGCATATGTGTCCCTATCCTGAGAAAGGGAGGCCAAAGGGAGCTGAGGTGTAGGAGGTGGCGGCCAGGGGATGGCCGAGCATGCCTGCCATACTTCTGGTCTTGCTCTGGGACTGACCAGTTGGGACAATCCAGATGACCAGACCTTTCCCACGGAAAAGCCACGAGGCTGTATGAGCACTTTATCCAGTCCTTGATTTTTTTTTCTTTTTGCACCTGAGGGAATTGGTTTTGTCCTCCCCTCACCCTGGGACCGCCTCCCCCGGCCACCCCCTTGCAGGCCAAGTTAAATGGTTTTCCCCAGGGCCTGCAAGGAGTTTGCCAACAAAGCGGGAGCAGCCCTGGTGGTGGTGTGGGGGGTGTCTGTGCTTTGGTCGGGGTGCCCCGCCCTCCTCAGTGTTCTGGACTGCACCCTCCGTGGGTGTTGGTTATCAGACCTGGCTGGGACTGCAGCCCTGCCTCTGGCAGGCTGGGGGTGAGGCAGACAGGATCTGGTGCGTGTCCAGCAGGGGGGCAGTGCCTGCCCTGTGGGGCTCCTGCCCCAGGCCAGCCTCAGGGCTGAAGCCCAAGTTCTGGAACTTTCTTCGTCCTTCCTACACCCTTCTTCACTGTTTGTATTATGCCTTTCTAACAGCTGGAACTTCGGGGAAAGGAAACTACACCCAGTTTTGTGCCTACGGGTCAGCACCTTTGGCTTACCTGCTCAGGTAACCCTGGGAACCCAGGCTCCTGGCTCCCAAGAACCCGGGGTTCCTGGAAGTAGGGAGGGGGCAAGGAGAACCACTAGAGCTGCGCCAGAACCCAGCTCAGCCCCCCAACTCCCAGGAGGAGCTGGCTGAACCCAGTGATGTTTGGGAACAGAGGGCCCCAGCAAAGAGCACCCTGCACAGCAGCCGGTGGGGGTGGTGCTCTCCAGCGCTCATTTGGAAGGGACCTGCCTCCCTCCAGTTCCAGCCTGCCCTCCCCGCTCCTGCATGAGCAGGACTGGGCAGAACACACCCCAAAATCATTTATCAGGACCCCTGCTGGCACAGGGTCAGGGGCTGCACCCCCTTTCGTGACCAGAAGGGCGCCTGTCAGGAACTGCGTGGGACCCTGGGGACCCCAGGCTGCCAGAAAGAGCTGCGGACTCCCATTCCATGGCAAGCCAGTCAGTGGCCAGGGCACAGTGTCCTCCCCGCCTCCAGCTGGCCAACGCTAACAGGACCGACTGGCCCCGCCCACGGGAGTAAGTGGGCTGTTGGCCCCGCCCACCGGAATACTCGGCCCCGCCCACGAGAATAACTGGGCTGTTGGCCCCGCCCACGAGAGTAAGGGACTGTCGGCCGCGCCCGCGGGGTTGCGGCGCCCGCGGGGTTGCGGCGCCCGTGGGGATGCGGCGCCCGTGGGGATGCCAGCCTGGCGGGGCCGGCGGCCGCTGCGTGTCCCCTACGGCACTCGCCAGCTTGGCGGAGGTGAGAGCTGGAAGAAATTGTTTCCGGCCCCCCGCGGCCGTTTGTACGACTCACTGGACGGCTGTATCTACTGGGCGTCCCTCCAGGTGTTTTCATACGGACCCGTTTTAATAAAGACTATTTCTGGGCCCCGCGTGTCCGGTGCGAGGGGCTGCGGGCGTGCCGGGGCCTCCTGCTGCGCCTCGCCCGCGCGTCCCCGGCGGGCAGGGCCGGGCCCTCCGGTGCGGACGCCGCCGCCCCTTTCCCGTCCGGGCCGGGGGGGCGGGGGGGGCCGCGCGCCGGCGGCGGCGTCTCGCCCGGGCCCTCGAGGCGGTCCGGCGCCGTGGGCGGGGCGTCGGGCCCAGGCCGCGCCCCGGCTCGCTGTCCGCCGGCCCGCGCGCCCCCTGGCGGCCGCGGGAGAACAAAGCGACCACACGCGAGCTCTGCGTCAGGACGTCAGGTTTATTAGTGAGGGGCGCGGCCCCGCGGGCGGCTGCAAGCAACGCAGTCCACGCGGGCGGGCCGCGCGGTCGTAAGGCTCCAAGTCACAGTGCTCCCGGGGCTTCCCGGCGGGGGGCGGGGCGGGACGCGAGCGGCGCGCGCCCAAGCCGCTCACTGCGCAGGCGCCGCGGCCAGTCTCCAGGGCAACCGGGACGCTCCGGACCCGGCGAGGAGCGGGAAGGGGAAGGGGCCCGGAGGGGGCTGCCCGCGACCCCGGCACAGGGGTCCCCCAAGCCCCGCGAGGTCACCTAAAGAAAGAGGGCGGCTGGGTCTGGTGGCATCGTCCTTTATTGAAGGCGAGTACAATCCCGCGTCCCCACGCGGCCGCGGTACAAGTCCAGTCCTGAGAGCCGCTGGCGGGGCGCCCCATCCTCCACCTGCGCGTCCCGGGCCCCCGGCCGTGGCAGCCCCCGGCACTCGCTGTCCCTGCGGGTCCCTTCATAGCCGCGGTGGGGGCAGACCCCCCCTCGGCTCTCGGCTCCGGGCTGGACAGACACGCACAGACACACAGACACGGCCTGGACGACACGCAGACACATGCCCCCAAACTTGCCCAGGGCCAGGAAAGGAAAGTGGGTGGCGAGGGCTTGGCCTGCGCGGTGTCCCTGGGGTGGGCGGTGGGGTCGGGGTCAGGTCCTGGTTCCGCTGGTCACGCCTCGGCCCAGGGGAGCCCTAGATGTACAGTGGGGTCTCCTGGCCGGTGAGGAGCCTGAACATGGCAGCTGGCATGGTCTTCATGTGGATCTGTCAGTGGCAGAGAGAACGAGGGCACTGAACCGGCACTGCCCTCCCCACCTCTCCATGCAACCCACTCAAACACACTATTCTGGATCATTCTGTGCCTCGGAGTCCAACGCCAGGTCCCAGATCAGTGAGAATTCCCAGCCGGTGACTTCCGGGCAGATCTACACACATATAACCACCCTCCACACCAGCCATTTAATTCTGTCTCCCTGAGATCTTGGAAACCCTAAACAGAAGACATGGCACCCCGTGTCCACCACAGCTGTCCACAGCGCCCAACGACGGGCAGTTCAGGAGGGATGCACGGGACGAGCTTTGCCTTGGTGATGGGTGGGAGTCAGAGGCTTGGGGGCACGGGGTGTCCGTGACACACAGCAGTCTCACTCGTGCCCGTGTGGGTCAGAGGAGCCAGCAAGGGGCAGCAACACCAGCAGAAATGAAGAAATGAGAGCAGCAGGAAAAGGGCGGGACAGTGGCGGTGCTGGGCGTTTGGGACCCGGGTGTTGGGACGGCGTGGTCACCTCTTATTTGGAGAGCTGCGAGCCCGCACCCAGAACGCGGCTTAGGTTGGGGCGCATGTCCCTGGCATCACATGTGCCCCAGCCCGCCAGTGCCAAGGTGTTCCTGGCAGCCCAGCATGGAGCCGTCAGCCGGGGGGTGGGGGGGAGGGAGGGGTGCTGAGAATCACCAGAGGAGCAACCTGAAGTCTCAGAGCAGTGTGAGAGGCGACCTCCAGACAGACAAGAGGGCCACACCTGGGGCAGCTCAGGGCTCTCTCCTGGCTCTGTACTCGGGGATCACTCTTGGCCCTGCGCTCGGGGCTGATTCCTGGCTTGTGTTCAGAGATCACTCCTGGCTCTGTGCTTGGGGATTACTCCAGGCTCATGCTCAGGGCTCACTCCTGGCTCTGTGCTCAGGGCTCACACTTGGCAGGCCTTAAGGAAACAAACCATGGACACCCACTAGGAGGCATTTCCCCTGTCCTGTCTCTAGGGTCTTGGAGAGACTCTGGGTCTCATTCCCATCCAGTCATTGCAGGGATGGGCACAAGAGGCAGAGCCGATCTCTTCTGACTTAGCAAAAATGCTGCCAGGCCTGCCTGCCCCCTCGGGGGCACCCACACCCCCTGTGCCCACACCTGTCCCAGCAGCAAACGGGTTGTGGCCCATAGCCCCATGGAGCCACAAGACACGGACTTTGGCCGAATGACCCCAAAAACTGAGCAGAAATGGACCCAGGAAGCAGCAGCCCAGCACAGGAGCTGGCCCCCACAGTGCCCTGCTCGCGCCCTCTGGAGGCTCCCCATAGCTCTCAGAATACACTCTCTGCACCGTCTATCTCCACTGCAGCCCCCTTGGGCTCCCAGGGAGACCCTCACCCCCATCCGCCCTGTCCCCCCCTCGCACACCTAATCCAGAGTTCCCGCAGAGCCCCACCCCACCCCCTTCATGCAGCGCAGCTCCAGAGGCAGAACCAGAAGGAGGAGGACAAAGGGGACCGTGCAGGGGCAAAGGCCAGGAGTCACAAGGGGTCAGAGACGGGGCATGCACGCCCCATGCCCCCTGCTCTCTCCAGGACATCTCTGTCATCCCCCCAGCACCAAGGACACGCTCAGCTCACAGGCAGCCCCGGAGCCGAGATGGGCTGAGGCCCTGCAGGGACCTGGCGGTGTGGGCGGGCGCAGCCTCACCTCTCCCACCGAGTTGGAAAGAGCCTGGACGATCTTCTCATGGGCGGTGGCCACCACGCTCTGCCCGTTGATCTCAATGATGCGATGGCCCACACGGACGCCCCCTCGCTCGGCAATGCCCCCGCGCATGAGGCTGCAGATCTGCGCAGACCACAGCAAGTTAGTGGGCAGGGACCCCTCACACCCCAGGGCGGCCCATGAGCCCATGGGCCCTTGGACAGGGCTGGGGTAGCCAGTGCTCTGGGCCCGATTTCTTTATCTGGTTTTGGGGTACCCGGTGCTGCGACTGTGCTGGGGATCGAGTCCTGGCCGGCTACATGCAAAGCAAGTGCCTACCCTGTGCCCTCTCCTACCCCAGGAATAAACAGGAGTTTTTAAAGAGTTGACTCTATGGTGATCAATCTGCCCCTGCATGACCCGAGCCCCACAGCCATCCAAGACAGGCACATTCTAGAAGATTCTCTGCCAGGAGGCATTGCCCTCCCAACCACACAGAGGCGGCCATTGCACAAGGTGGCCCTGGGAGGGGGATGCGGCGACGGCCTCCCCCAGTCCCACTCCAGAGCCCCTTATGAGGGAAGGTGGACAGACGGTCAGCAACAAGAGGACAGAGGGGCCGGGGGTGGGCAGAGGGCTTGGGGTGGGCAGGGGCAGGTGCAGCCTGTGCGTATGTGTGTGCGTGCACATGTGCTGGTGAGTGCACATGCATGTGTGTGCGTTTATGTACATGTCTGTGCATGTCTGCATGTGCATGTTTGTGTGGGTGCACGTTTGGGTGTACACGTATGCATGTTTGTGTGTGCATGTTTGCACATGTGTACGTCCATGTTTGCATGTCTGTGTGTACATGTTTGTATGGGTGCATATTTGGGTGTGTGTGTGTGTATGCGTTTGTGTGTGCATGTTTGCATATGTGTCCATGTTTGCATGTTTGTGTGTGCATGTCTGTGTGTGCACGTGTGTATGTGTCCATGTTTGTATGTTTGCATGTGTTTGTGCATGCATGTGTGTGTGTGTGTGTGTGCACATGAAAGACCAAGGGGCGGTCCCTGCCAGGAAAGGATCCCCCACTCCATGTCACAGTGACCCAGGTCTCTGGGGATCGTCAGTATAGGTGTTTTAGGGTTTGTGGCCAGCCTGGGGGTGTTGGGGGACCCTGAGGAGCTGCAGGTCCTCCAATGGGGCCTGCCTTCTTCCTCAGTCTTAGAATGCTGCAGAGAACTGGGGAAAGGCCAGGGGAAGAGGAGGGGAGGGGGAGCAGAGAGATGGGGGGAGGAGAAAGGAGCAGAAGAGAGATGGGCAGAGGAGAGGGCAGAGGGGAGAGATGAGGGGAAGGGAGGGAGCAGAGGAAAGATATGGGGAGCTGAAGGGGGCAGAGGCAAGAGATGGGGGAGCAGAGGAGAATGATGGGCAGGGGAGGGGAGGGGCAAAGGAGAGAGATGGGCGGGGGGAGGGGAGGGCCTGGCACTTCAGGGGGCCGAGATGGGTCCAGACCCAGGTGGGGGGCTCCAGCAGGCAGTGGGGCACAAAGGGACCTGAAGGGGGCACTTTCCCCAGGGAAGCCCGGCTGGATTGGGGTGTGCATCTCTGAGGAACGGGGGCTTCCCTGGGGACACCTTCACCCTCTGTACCTGAGGAGAGGTGCCCAGGAGCTCCAGAGGGGTCCCAGTACATGGGGCTGCAGATGGAGAAGGTGCCTGCACAGAGCCAGCTCACACAGACGGGCCCTGGGATGGAGGGACTGGCCGCTGCTGCGTGTCTGTGGTCAGTGCTCCTGAGCCCTGGGCTCCTGCTGCCCGCCCCATCCCGAGCACACTCACGATTCCGTTCTGCACGCTGAAGCCCAGCTGGTACTTGAGGTCAGGCCGCTTGATGAGCACTGTGGTGACGGGCGGGCAGCTGACAATGTTCAGCTTCACCTGCGTCTGGTTCTTCAGCCCCTGTGGAGCACCAGGACCACCTCAGTGTCCAAGTCCCGGGTGGGGAAGGGGCAGTGATCCTGCTCAGCTATGTCCATGGTTCCAGGTGAGATGGGGTGAGGGGTAGGAGGAGGGACCAGGCAGCTTCCGGTTTGTTCTGACCAGGCACCAACTGTGGAAGGGACCTGAGCCTAACAGGGATAGTGACCCCACAGGCCCATCAAACCCGGACAAGCAGGGGGTCCCTGGGACCACAGCCCTGGGAGGGGATTAGGCACTTAGGCACTGCCAACTGGGGCAGCCCCCACAGCTGCTGTCAGTTTGTTCACTGCTCTGTCTGTCCCTCTGTCTGTCCACCTGTCCATTCATCCATGAGTCCATCTGTCCACCCATCTGTGGGACCCCCACCCGCAATTCCCAGGGCTCAGTGCCAGCCTTGCCATGGAGCACCACGCGGGCGCCCAGCTGGCACCCACCCACCTTGACGATGCCCTGACAGGTGCCCAGCGGCAGCCCCACCAGGCTGGTGCCATTGATGGACATGATCTGGTCGCCAATGCTGAGCTTGCCGGAGCGCGCGGCCGGGCCCCCATTCATCATGTTGGCCAGGATGACGGTGGGCAGGATGGAGCCCCAGCCGGACTCCACCAGCACCACGCCCAGGATCTCGCCCTTGTGCTTCTGCAGCTGGAGCTGTGGTGAGGGGCAAGGGCTGAGCGAGGGATGCGGCAAGCTTGGCCACAGCCCTGCCCCCAGCACCCCAGATGGACACAGCAGAGCCTGGCCATGGCCCTGTCCCCAGCACTCTCCCTCCTTCCCCCCACCCCACTCCAGGGCCCAGCTCCTTCACAGAGGCAGAGGATGAGGTTCTCGGGCCCAGGGCTACACCTCCCCTAGGCGCTGACCTAGAAACTCCTTCTCCGTGTCTTTGCCTCTGTCTCCCCATCTCTGTCAGCCACCCACCGGCCGAGTCAGCAATCAGGCGTTGTTCAGGAACCATCACTGCACCCTGCAGGCATGATGGCGCCAACCCCACTGCACGGACCCCCGGGGCTGCAGGGCCCACTGGGGACTCTGACACTCCCCTAGGCACAGCTCCCAGATTTCCCATTTCTTTGGTCACACCCAGCAGGGTTCAGAGCTGACTCCTGGCTCAGTGCTCAGGGCTGACTCCTGGTTCTGTGCTCAGGGCTCACTCCTGGCAGAGCGCAGGAAGCCACAAGGTGCCAGGATCACACTAGGGTCGCCACGTGCACAGTATGTGCACGTGGTGGACTCACTCCTCCCTCCCTCCCACAGTCCAGGGCCCCCATTTCAAGGCTGCCTCCCCCAAAGTTTGCAGGAACATTCTGGGTGCTGGGCACCAGCGGCCCTGAGGGCCCATCCTCATGGTCACCCAGACTGACAGTTCCTGGCTGTGCATCCCACACCGCCTCACTGCTGCCTAGGCTGTCTCGCAGGCCCCACTCCCGCCCCCACTACGTCCTGCGCCCCGCCCCCTCCCGTCCCCACGACGTTCCACACCCCCCACTCCCGCCCAGGTGGTACCCCCACCTCCTTGCAGTTGTCGGAGTTGGAGAAGTGCACGAGGTCGTCGTTGTACATGTCCTGCGTGCTGATGACATCGCTGTACTCCTTCTGGCTCAGGTCCTCGGGGTTGATGCCGTTAGCCCGCAGGAACTCCTGGTAGGCCACGCTGAAAGCCTGGCCGATGGACTGGGCGATGAGCTGGGCCTGCGGAGAGTGGGGGCTCAGACCTGCCGGCAGCAGGGTGGAGTGCGCACTGCGGGGAGCGGCCCCCCTTCACCACAGCTGAGGTCCAGCCCCCACAAATGAAAGAGCAAGAGGAAAAGTGGCCGAGGGCGAAGACAGGGGTGGGGTGGGGTGCGCTGAGGGCAGCAGCCAGAGTGTTGCTGTGCTTCAGGCCGGGAGCCCCAGCCCTGAGCTGCCCGAGGGCTCGAGAGGACCCCCCTCAGCTCCGAGCTTCCCACGGGACCGGCAGGACACCCCAGCCCTGAGCTTCCCGCGGGTCCAGTAGGACACCCCAGCCATGAACTGCACACGGGCCTGGCAAGGCTGCCCAGCACCCAGCAACGCCCCCCCTCCCCGGCCGACTTCGGACTCTGCTCCGGTGCCCACACGCTCTCCCACCCAGGGTGCACATGAACCTGCCCCATCGCAGGGGCTGGGCCTGAACCGGATGGAGCAGACGGTGCTGATCCAGACTGACCAGCCCTCCCAGCCAGTCCATGCAGTGACCAGAAAAAACCAGCCCAGTCTGGGCGCTGCTCCCTGGACGCAGGCAGCAGTGGCGCCTGGCAACCACCAGATGGCGCTGCCAGTCTGGGCTCAGGCGGGAACAGGGGGTGCTGCAAAGGGCCCCTTTCCCCCCCACCCCCTTGGCTGGGTCCGCCCCAGGAAGTGGCCCAGAGGTCAGGGGCGCGCCTCTGTCTGAAGCTTGGTCTTGAATAGTCGGGTTTTAATTTTTTTTTTTAAAGATTTGGAGTCTTGGGGCCACACCCAGTGGGGCTCCAGCCTGTCTTCAGGGCCCCACTCTGAAAGCCCCCACAACCGCCCCTCACCCCGGGCTCCCAGGGATGCTGTCCTGCAGTCCTTGTCTGTCCCCAGGGGGACACTCAGAGCCCCAAAAGGGGTTTTCTGACTCCAGCGCAGCCTGGCCCCTGGGGGCTGCTTCTGTGAGCCCCCCTTGGCGGACATGCGGGTCAAGGGAGAGGCCCGCAGAAGGTGGAGCCCCATTTCAGAGGGGAGACTGAGGCCTCCCTTGCTCCCCTGGGTTCCGCCCTGTGTCCCCCTCTACAGAGACCCAGGAAGGGGGCCCTACTTGAACCCTCAAACTGCTGGTCCCCCCGTGCCCTCTGACCCTTCACCCCACTTAGTCCACATCCCTGTCAGGCCACTCAGGCCAGCCCCAAGTGCCCAGGGCATCATCCTAACGGACAGACCTGAGTGGCCACAGCAGGCCTCAGACTGGGCCTGACAGGCAAATGTGTCCAATGGGAAAGACTGCCACCCCCTACCCCCATGGCTCTAGGGGGGCCCGTGCCTGAGGCATGAAGATCTTTTGCCACTGTCCACCCAGGCTGCGTTTCCTGCCAGCAGCAGTGGCCTCACCCTGTGTCCCTCTCAGTCCTGGGAACAGTGACTGTAGGGGCTGGGGGACAGCAGGGGAGACCCCAACCTGGTGCCTCAGAGCAGCTGCTCGGGCCCTGTCCCCCACCCCTGGGGCTGAGTAACAGCTGCACCCAGGGCGTGGAGGCCTCTGGCCATGCTCTGACGGGCACCAAAGCAGGTGGTGCTGGGGTCAGTCCCCTCCAGAATTCTCTCCTCACCAGCCAGCAAGGAAATGGGCTGGGGCCAGCGGGGCCTCTCAGATGGACTCGCGCTGAGTGAGGAGCCCCCAGAACACAGGCCGGGGCAGATCCCAATGCCCATCTGCGGAAAGTTCCAGACACTGGCGTGGCCGGCGCACAATGAAAGTCGAAGGTAGTACAGGTGTGGACAGGGGCAGCACTGAAGACCACGGGTGCTGAATGGAAATCAGCGTCCAGGGCACCACCCACACTGGGAGCCTCAGGCACAAGCACCGGAAACAGGCCAGTGGGTGCTGCAAGTGGAGACGGCCAGAACACACAGAGATCACGTGTGGGGAGCCATGTCAAGCGAGCCTACTGGCCAGTATGCACCGGTTAAGGCTGTCAATATTGACAGAGCCTAGTGACCAACCCCTGAAGATCTTCCCATGGGAAACTCGTGGGGACGGGGTGGGGTGGACACAGGGGCTCGGCAGAGGGACGCAGCCCTGGGGGGGGGGGGTCCCTGGCAGGCCCTGACTCACATCCTCAGACTCGAACACGTGGCAGACCATCTTGTACTGCTTCCTGCCCTCCTGCGCGCCCGGCGTGGTCTCGATGCAGTCCTGCGAGGCGGCGCGGGGCATGCGGCGGCGGGCCATGAGCACCACGATGTTGCCGATGTCGGCGATGTAGGAGATGGTGCGCAGGGCGTGGTCCATCATGGTCTCCTGCGGGCCGGGGCACGTCAGCACCGGGCACAGGCAGGCCCAGAGTCCTGCCAAGCCCAGGAGAACGGCACCGGCACCTTCCGTGTCTTCCAGGATCCCCACGGGCCATGGCACGAGCCCACCGAACTGACTCTGTGGGGGGCTCTGTGCTCAGGCATGGGCGACAGCAGAAATGGCGCCCCTTCCTCTCCCTGGGGAGGGTTACTGTCCCTGGGAGCACGCGGGGGCTCGGGGCTTCCAGCATTTCCTGTGGGAGATGCCTGTGGTATATCTATTCCTGGGGTGACAGAACATGCTTCTTCTCGGCTCCCTGCTCACAGCCCCTCTAGAGGATGTCCACCCACATGGCGACCACCCAGCCACCCGCCATCTATCAGCCGACTGACCAGCATGGCCACCAACAAGGCAGCCCCTCCCCCGTTGCAGCCCCGGTCCCTCGCTTCCTGTCACTTCACTCCAGGGACAGGCCCACGCATGGCCTGCGGAGGCCACACGACGGCCCAGTCACCCCGACTCTCATGTCCCCACTCCCTGCAGGGCCCTGGGATTGCGCTCCTCATCCTGCCCCAGAGACACGGCGACGGGTAGCGGAAGCTTTGGGTAGGCTGTGGCCTGGTCAGTTCACCTTTAGGGAGGGGCGTCTGCTGACCTGCTCCTCTGCCCAAGCACAACTGGAAGGCTCAGGGCAGCATGGGCAGCGTCCCCTCCCAGAAACGAGGGACACTGGCTGCTCCCGGCCACTCAGGAAAGCCCCAAGCAGTGACCTGGGCCCAGCCGTCACCAGCAGAGAAGTCGCCACCTCCAACACGGCAGAGACCAGAGGGCCACAGCTGCCCCCTCACCCAAGGCCTGGCACCTGCATTTGAGAAGGGGCTTGTGTCCAGGCCACTGCTAGGGCATGTGGGGAGGCCATGATGGGCATCAGGAACAGGGCTGGACAGAGACTCACCCCCCAGGTGGAGAGACAGGCAGTGCTGGCTGGAACTGGGGCAGAGTGAAAGAATGTGCTGGAACCACCCCAAAGGCCAGGGAAGAGGCTGTTCTGGTCACCGGGCTGCCGTTCAGACACCACCAGCCCAGGGTCTGGCCTGGGGTGGCCTGTGGCCCTGCAGAGCTCCAGGCCCACCTGAGGCCAGAGCAGAGCAGACAGCAGCTGGCCCAGGCAGCCACGGCGGAGCGTGCCGTGTGGAGGTTTCCCATGCAGCGCCTACACTCGACCTGCCTAGAGAGCTGGGGGCGCACAGGAGGTCCGGCAGTCATGGGGGGGTGGCAGCCCACCGGATCCCGCAAAAGTGGGAGCAGCTGGCAGCAAGAGAGTGCCGGGAGAAGCCCCTTCCCACCCGGCTCCCTCTTTAGAGGGACCCGACACCTGAAACGCAGCAGTAGGACGGCGCTAGGCGGGCTGGGCCGAGCTGCTCTGGACTGGTTGAGGGTGGGCTGGACCAGTCTGGGCTGGGCTGGGCTGGGTTGGTCTAGACTAGACTGGGCTGCCCTGGTCTGGTCTGGTCTGGGTTGTGCTGGGCTGTTCTGGGCTGCCCAGGGCTGGGCTGGGTTGGTTCTCTTGCAGTCCTGAGACCATCCTCCACCTTCAACCACTTGAACGTGACGTGGCTGTCAGTTTTTTCCCAGCACCAGCTCTTGGGCCTCTCGAGTCCGTCTCATGGGCCATGTCTGGTCTGAGGATCCAACCCGGGGCCTCACACATGCCGGGGCGCCCCGCCCCTCCAAGCAGCACTCAGAGCAGCCTGCAGTCGGGCGAATTCTCTTTCTGCTTGACTTCTTTCTCTCAGGGTTTCTTTGGCTTTTTTGGGGTCTTTTGTGGGCCCACGTCAACTTTAGTCCCGTCTGTTTTAATGCCTGAAAAAAATGCCCCTGGGGTGGCGACAGAGAGAGTTTCCAGAAGATGGCCCCGCCCGTGAACACAGGCCGGCATCCCTTCCCTTGCATCTCCTCCCTGCTTTGGGGACACCTCAGACACCCACCCGCCCCCAGACACAGGCCAAGCTGGGGCAGAGTGAGCGCAGAGTTGGTCGGGGGGCTCAAATAAGGGTGCAGGTCCTGTAGGAAAGAGGCCCCCGGGGCCCCCAGCACCGTACAGCTCCCAGAGCACTTCAGGGCACGGCCTGGTGCTCCCCGGCTACCTCAGGGCCAGCTCTGACCACATACCACGGACTGGCAAGCAACCCCTGAGCACCATCTGGGAGACCCCTCCCCAAATTTAAGACTCACACAGGCATCCACTACTCTGAGTGCGTTGGGCTGGAGAGACGGCATGGGGGGCTGAAGCCCCGGGTCCAGTCCCCGGCACCCCAGGACCCCCAGCGCCTGGAAGCCCACTCCCAGCACAGAGCCAGAAGCGGCCACACAATCCCCAGGTATGGCAGGAAACCAAAACCAGCCCAGGGACAGCACAGGGGGCGGGTCCCTGCGCACTGAGGGGGAAGAGGGGAAAGAGGAATAGACGGAGAGACACAGGGAGAGAGAGAAAGAGAGGGAGGGAGAGAGGAAGAAAGGGTGAGAGGGAAAGAGACAGGGAGAGGGAGAGACAGGGAGAGAGAGATGGAGAGAGAGGGAGAGGGAGGGAGGGAGGGAGTGTCTTCACAGCAGAATTCAGCTCAGCACAGGAGAAGCCACGAGACAATGGGCTAATCACCACTTTGCTCTTCCAAGCAACTCGGCAAAGATGCTCCCCAGCCCTGGACCCCCAACGCTGTCACCATCTGGCCAAGATCTCGGGGACCAGGGACCAACCGAGGAACCTGTCACCACCCTGGTTCCTTGCCAGTGACAAAGCAGCAAAGGGCGCTGGGCCCTGTTTTGTGGCCGCCTCGCCCCCGCCCCACCATGCCTCATCAATCTCGGGCAGGCACAGCGGGGCCGGGACCCCAGCCCCCACCCTCCAGTACCCAGGCTCATTCTCACCCCTCTGCCAGATGCCCAGTGATCTCCAGGGTCAGGGGTCAGCCCAGCAAGCCCCCGTCCCTCCTGCTGGGAACCTGAGGGCAGCAGGGGGCGGGCTCCGCACCCACACATCCTGCAGGTCAGAGCCTTTCTAAAATGCCTCCACCCTCTTCCCAGACCTTCTGCAGCGGCGCCACTGTGCCTGGCTCCCGTCCACCCAGCCCACCGGCTCCAGGCCACAGCCCAGCAGAACCATTTCCCTGCCTGGAGGGGGTTCTGCAGGGGCGACAGCTGCTGAGGGTTGTGCAGGGGTGGGGGGATGCAGGGTGCAGGGAGAGGGAGGGAGGGACCCTCAGCCCCGAGCCACTCACCTGCGTGTCGGCATTTAACACCTTGATCCTCTGCGTGGAGATGAAGAGGTCCACCTCGGTCAGCGTCTGGCTGTCCCCCTCCGAGTTCTGCGGAAGGAGTGCGCACGCGGTTCAGAATCACGCAAACTTTGAACAAAGGCTTGACAATCTGGCACTGACAGTCCCGGGTGCCCCTAGAGGGACGCGCTCCTCGGGCACGGCTGGAGGAGCGACAGGGCGGGGGGATGGCGGCTGGAGGGGGGGGGCTGCTTCCGGCTTCCGGGGGGCTGAGCAGAGCCCCTGCCTGGGGCCGAGGAGGTAGCTGGAAAGGCTGTAACGGCAGGGAGCCCGGTTTGACTCCCGCCATCACCAGGCTGTGGCCCAGAAATCACCAGAAGCACAGAAATAATCCCCCTGCTGCCGGCCCACCAGGCTCCTGCGAGGCCCAAGGATCTTCAGACCCAGGACACAGGGGAGAGATTTTTAGAGCAGCTAAAGGAGCAACAGTGTTTACTCCGCCCAGGCAGGAACGGGGTCGCACGGACACCCCTGTCCCTCACCTGCCCAGTCGTCCCTGACCCAGTATTTCAAGGCGAGACCTGGCGTGAACTGACTCCCACCCTCAAGGAGAGAAACGGCCTCATCACCATCTGCTGGAGAATGCCGGCTCCCCGCCATCCTGACAAGTGGCCCATGGAATGTTCTGGAGGTTGAGCACAACAACTCAGGCTGGGCCCGAAGCAGGTCAGCCTTCCACTGCTGTTCCTGCAGGGGTATGCCGGCGTCTGCGCTGCGCTAATGAAACCCCAGCGCGTGCATCTGCCTAGGTGGGAGAGGGATTCTCTGCTGTCCCACGGGGGCCACGGTGGTCGGGCTTCTGCTTCTCAGCGAACAGGGACGGTGATTAGCTCCTCCTGGGAACTCCCAGCTCCCCAACGGCCCTATGACAATTCTGTGGGGGAGGGGACTCAGGGCGCAGAGGGCCCAGGAATGGGGGATCACGCGGGTCTCAGCTCCGCCTCCCAGGAAAGATCTTTGGGGTTGGAGTTCGGCTCTGCAAGGATGCGGATGAAGTCAGTCTGCAGCGTGAGGCTGTAAAACTGGGCGAGCACCTGCACGCGCGTCTTTCACACCCAGATTCTCTCCCAACCCAGGGGACATGCAAAGCTGCAGGGGCCCCTCCCTGGGACAGCACAGGAGAGAGACCCAGGGCCATAGCCAGTGGTGTTGGGGGGTCGGGGGCCACACAGGACCCTGTGTGCAAAGCCATATACCCAGCCCTTGGTGCCCTTCCCAGCTCCAAAGTCAACCTTAAAGGTTAAAAATTCTGCTCCGGCTGGAGAAACCTTCTTGACAGAGAAAATCTCTCCCGGCAGACACGGCTTCTCAGCCTCCGATTCAGTAAATTAAACTTAATGAGTCTTTAAATATCAAGAGCGTTTAATTAATTCCGGGCGGGCGGTCCCAGCACTAACGGTATCACATGGACAGAGCGTGGCTGCCTGCATCTGGCTCACAGATCTGAACTCAGGCCGGTCCCCCACCCCCAAGGTGGGCACCCCCAGCAGTGGGCAGCAGGCAATGGTGACCCCAGAGACACCTCCCCCGGCCCCCCGGCCCACACACCGCCTTCTTCTTGATCTTGGCCGCCTTCTGCATCCTCTGAGCAGCGTGAAAGAGAAAGAGACAGGTGGGAACGGGGAGATGGCGCCCCAGGGCCAGGGCCCCACGGACCCCGCGGGGTGGGACCAGTCCCAGGAGGGGACGGGGAGGACAGCAGCAGTACTGGGGATGCCAGACCCCATTCCTGAGATACGACTCTGCCCTCTGCCCCCATCACCGCCAACCAGGCCAGTGCCCCAAGCTGGAGGCAGAGTGGCTTTTCTTGAGGTTCATGATCAAGTTCGATTCCTCCGCCCCTCTCGGAGAGCCCGGCAAGCTACCGAGAGTATTCGATATGCCAGACACAGTAACAACAAAGTCTCCAATGGAGACGTTACTGGGCCCGCTCGAGCAAATCGACGATCAACGGGAGGGCCTTTACCTTTACCTTTACCATGATCAAATAGAACTACACACACACACACACACACACACACACACACACACACACACACACACAGAGTACTTTCTGAGTCCCAGAGCACCAGGGCACACTGCCCAGTTTGGGACGAGAATGGTGGGTTCCAGATGAGGATCCGCGGGGCCCTTCGGGATCCTGAGCCTCACTGAAGTGATGTGGCCCAAGCCTGGACTGAGAGAACAGGGCCCCGGGGGGCTGGGGGTCCAGGCCAGGGTGTGTGGAATCTGCCATTTCAGGCACCTGCTGGGGGGTCCTGGGACACATGTCTGCACAGGTAAGGGGGTACTAACTGCCCTGAGGTCTTTCCTTTGGCAAAGACCCGGAGTGATGCTTGAGTACAGAAAACCCTGGGCCTGGGGCATCCAGAAGCTTCCCCACAATCCTTAAGAGAAAGTCCCGTCTAGGGGCTGAGGCAGCTGAGGGACGTCCCCCCACCCATCAGACCCGAGATGGCCCGGGCCCACAGCTGCATGGACGGGAACCCAGAGCAGCCCCACGAGCCCAACTGCTGATCAGGAGCCTCCCTCAAATGAAGGCCAGTGGGCGGCCCCGGCACCCACTGGTGAAGGAAGGAGACTGCTCTACACCCAGCACCCCCACCAGCCCCCCACCTTGACCCGGCTCACGGCCTCCTGGGCCTGCGTCATCCGGATGGTCTTGGACGGGTTCCGCTCTGACAGCAGCTGGGCCGAGCCCAAGTAGTTGGCCGCGAAGATGATGCCGTCGATGAGATCCTCAGGTTCGCAGGGCCCTGGAACTACAGAGACATGGCTGGGGGTGCCGGGAAGGGCAGGGGAGGGGGCTGCATGCCAGCAGCCAGGGGGCCCAGTCCACTTTCCTCTAACACGGGGGGTGGGGGACACAAGGCATCGTCGAGTCCAAGCCCATGAAGGTGGGTGTCCAAGGGTCATTCCTGGACCCTGGGCAGCTCGACCCCGAGGGGCAGCCACAATGTGCCCCCCAAGGTCCCCTCCCCCGCAACATGTCCTGGGACCCCCAGGGATGCCCTGCTCACCCCTTCCTTCCACCCCCTTCTGCCTCCTTTTCCTCCTCCTTCCCTGCTGGTCCGTTCCCCGCCCCTCGCCCCCGGGCACAGCTCAGCCCACTGCAGGTACCTCCACATCCCACAGTCAGCTCTGGATCCGATTCAGGGGAGGGGCCTCGGCACCCCCAGAACCACTTCTGGTACCACACCCCGAGTCAGTCTGTGTGGGGAAGGAGCCCCCGAAGCTCGACATGGGGGTGCTTATTAGCCCCTATCCCCTGTCAGGAATCTCGGGGGTGGGGGAAGGAGTCGGGGTTCTGTCACCTGTCCGTGGGGACTATCATTTCTTCCCAGTTCCTTCCGTAAACAGGACAGAGAGTCTGGGAGGCCCTGCCTAGGCGGCCTGGGAAGAGGGGCCGTGGAAGGGTGGTGGGTCAGTTTCACAGGCTCAGCAGGGGCCAAGATGCAGACTCCCAGCCCCACCTCATCACGGCAGCGTGGCATGCTGTGAGCTGCGGCCACCAGAGGGCGCCAGAGCTGCAGAACGAGGGTTCTGGGAGTCGTTCTCCAGATCCTCTGCAGGGCAAGGAGGTCTGCAAAGGCAGTACACGGGCAGCCGGGACAAGAACCAAGAACGGGAGCAGCAGCTGCTCCAGGAGTGCGGGAGCGCAAGAAACCCCGGCTGTTTTATTTGAGCCGTGTGCAAGGCAAATGCCCATCCCTGCTGAAGTTGTTTTAAATAAGCCTCTTTTGTTTTGTGTTTTGTTTGGGGGCCACACCTAGCAATGATCAGGGGTGATCACTCCTGGCAAACACATGAGATGCTGAGGACCGACCTCAGGTCAGGCTGCGTGCAAGACAAATGCCTGACCCTCTATGCTACCTCTCTGGCCCCCAAATAGGCTTTCTTCGGGGGACCCAATGGTGGCTGAGCTCAGGTTGGAACCACACAGTGCCGGAAACCACACCGGGCCCCCTGCATCCTACTTTCACAGAAACACACACACAAAAATTGACGGTGAACTGTAAAGGATGAGCTCAGAGTTTTACACCCAGGAGCCAGGATGAAAGGCCCAGTCTGAAGACTCCAGGGCTGAAAACATTGTTCTAGAACAATCTGGGAGCAGGGCAGGGGTGTGAGGGAGCAGGAGGGAGCAGAAGCAGGGAGACTGCACCCCTGCACTCCTTCTATTTCTCACCTACTTGTGTATCTGTTTGCAATGTCTTGTGATAAAATAATTAAATGGCTGGATATTTCCAACATGTGTGTCTTCTATTTAAGTCACTATTACATAACACCGTTCCTGGTGCTGACCCACGCCAGTGAGACAAGGGAGAAAACTAACAGAAACGGGCAGAAGTGGCAAAAACCATTCTTGTTTGCAGATGGCCTGACTGCATTTCAAACAACAACAATCCCTGAAAGTCTGTTTAGAAGACAGTTGAGCCTGCAGAGGCAGGAGGTGCTCAGAGAGTATCAGCTGCTTTCTCCACAGCTCCATAGAGCACCGGACACATTTACAGACACGAGAGGAAACCAAGTGCCCTTCTGGGCATGTCAGCCACATGCCTGGGTTTTCTTCAAACACAGTTTTACTGCTGAAAATGAAAAAGCCTGGGTACACGGTGAGCTCCACATCTCTGAGCACAGCCAGGTTCACCCCCGGGAGAGAGGACGCCCCCAAAACACACCCATCACACACACACTTGCACACACAGACATGCACACACACTCACACACATACGCACAAACACATGCATTCACACTGCGCACACATGCACCCCCACATGCATACACTTGAGCATACATGTGCACAGGTACACACACATGCATATACTCACCGCATACACATACACATACTTGAGTGCGCACACTCAACTCACGTGCGCACACTGAAGCACACACTTGTGTACACACCTGCACATGCCTACACACGTGCATAAACTAGCATGCATACACACTCAGGCACACTCACGCACATGCACACACACTCATGTGTACATGCATGCACTTACACACTCACGCACTCATGCACACACGCACACATTCACTTGAACACACAACACGCGTACACAGAGTAGTGCACATGCACATAATTGCACACACACACGCATATACACCGACACGCACACACGCACACACTCTCCCTGGAACCTCAGAGGGAACCTGTGCATCAGCGAAGCACAAACTCAGTGACGGTGGCGGATCCCCTGGCAAAGGATTCATTGGCTGTTCTGAACCAATTTAGGCCCAACTGGTCAGCTACCAGTATGACTTTTTTTTGCAGACAAATTTGGGTTTGATGGCATCTGAACCAGCTGCAGTGCCTAAAGAGGCAGGAAACGCACGTGCCAAACCCCGACAGAGTCCATTTCAATTGTTCAAAGTAGGACCGAGCGGGGCTGGAGAGACTGGCGGGGTGGAGGGGGACACTGCCTTCATGCACCAACCTGGGTCGATTCCCAGCATCCCATTAGGGTCCCTGAGCCCTGCCGGGAGTGATCCCTGAGCACTACTGAGTGTGACCCCAAAACAAAAAGGAACAAAGAAGAGGCCAGAGCCATCACACAGCAGGTAAAGAGTTTGTCCACGGCTAACCCGCTCCATCTCAGGCACCCCACATGGGCCCTGGGCACTTCTGGGATTGATCCCTGAGTGCAAAGCCAAGAGGAAGCCCTGAACACTGCCAGGTGTGGCCCCAAAAGTGGACAACAAAGGTTAACACAGAATAGACCATCTCGCTTCTTAACCGAATACTGAGCTACAATGTTCCCCCTTTAAGAGAAACGGGCAGAGAAAGGGAAATGTAGGGTCTAGAAAGAGCAGAGCTGGAATTCTGGGGTGATTATATCCTGCCCAATCTGAAGGGCCAGGTCGTCATTAACTGTTTCAGGGTTCAGGGTTCAAAAAGCCACGTCAGCACCCACCCTCACCCCTGAGGTGAACTTTCTCAGTGAGCTCTGCCTGAAGCACCAACAGCGAAACCCCGGGCAACCCTGAGAATCTGGTCCCCAGTCACTTACCAGCCACAAAACTGGGAAATGAAGCCGCCTTCTTGGTCTGTGGGAAAGAGGGAGAATCGTACACACTGGTGAGCCAGGTTGGGGCCCCTGAGAGAAAGCGGGACGCAGGCTCCAGGGACCTGACAGGGAGCAGACCTGGGACGGCATGGGACCCTTGGATCTGTGAGGCTTGAGAGCTCTCAACTGCAGGGTGTGCGCTAGCAGGCACACACTTGAGAACACACTGTGTGTGTGTGTGTGTGTGTGTGTGTGTGTGTGTGTGTGTGTGGTGTGGCAATCCCTACTGCCTGCAGGGCCTGGGTCCGAGCACATCCCCAGGAATGGGCCACGGGAGGGGTTACATGCCCTCCTCCCTCCTGACTGCCCAGGGCTTTCCCACAGGTCACCGGGATTACTGGGCCGAGACCAGCGTCCTAAGAGGCCGGTCTGGACCGCAGCCATCAAATATGGGTCCTTTCAGAGCACCGCAAAGGCTCCCAGTGTGGTAGCGCAACACACCTCTTCCCACTCCCACCCCAGTGACCCCCGACCCTGGGGGTCTGGAGATGGTGAGTGGGAGCGGGGGCTGGGGCTGCACCCAGGGGCGTCACCTCTGGGATGTTGTTATTGTCCACGCGGCCATTGAGGTCCGAGCGCTGCTGCTTCCGGGGCTGCTCCAGACCGTTGCAGACCTGCAGGCGTGCGAGCAGGGAAAAGGGGTCAAACGGGGAGTCCAGGCCAGGAAGACGCGGCCCGCCAGTGCATGTCCCAGGAGATACACATAGACCTCCTACACGCTCCTTAACGACTGGGTTTATTTACAGGAACTCCCGTCTACTGTGGGTCTGTCCAGGGTCCCCCTGTCCACTGTGGGTCTGTCCAGGGTCAGGGCCCAGAACCCTCCAGCACTCAGTTCTCAAGCCTGGTCCTGCTGGGGGGCCCAGGGCCAGCCCCTGAGATGTTCGGGGATCCAACCCAAGACCTGGTGCCTGCAGCCCTCACATCTGTGACCCCAAGCTCCTGCCCAGCCCCTGCACTGGACTTTGTCTGGTTTGGGGGCCACACAGGACAGTCTCTGTGTGCCTGTGGCAGGCCACAAGTGCCCTTGCTGTGGGATGCTGTGTCACGGGTGGAGGTGAGACGTCAGAGCCCCACACTGGGCAGGGGCAGCCCGGTAGGGCCTCAGTCGGCAGGACACTTGGTCCCTGGAGACCCCTGTCCATGGCGGCATGAGTCAAGGCTCCGGCTCGACCGTGTCAGGGGCTGAACTCGGGCCTCCTGTCCCCGCCCAACCCACCCTGCTGGTCTGAGCACAGCTGACCCCAGCTCAGCAGGCATTCCACCGCAGCCCTCTGACCCACTCCTCCCCCAAGCCCTCCCTCAAGGCCGTGAGCCCTGGGCCCACACTCAGGAAATGAGCTTGGTGGCTGGAGGAGTGAGCAGAGCACATCAGGGCCAGGACGAAGTTGGTCTGAGAGTTCTGTGGGGCCCCTCATGTGTCCCAGCCCCAGGGCTGGGCCGGGCTCTCTGTGCCTCCCCGTCCAGAAGGCGGCCCGCATCAGACCACAGAGCCGCTCCACCGTTCTGCCAACAGAACTGAGCCTAGTGGCCGAGCCGAGTTACGGCTGCATTTGCCCACCCTGTCACTGGCAGCTAATAGGGCCGTGTGGACGCGCTCACAGCCACAGAGCCCCATGGAACACCCTGCTTCTGCCAAATCGGCCCATGTCTGTGACGCTATGGACCAGACTTTCCAAGCACTGAGGCTAAGACGGGGCACAGTGGGCAGTGAATGCCCAGGTAGCTGTGACTCTCTAGACAGCCCCAGGGCTGGTCCTGGCCCTGCTCCCGGGTCATCCCTGGTGGTCAGAGGGCCCTGTGCAGTGCTGGAGCTCAAGACAGGCTGCGTGCAAGGCGAGCGCCTTCCCTCGGCACTGCCCGGCCTGTATGTGTTTCCTACGAGGGCCACTTCCTGCAGTGCTCACCCCAGCAGTGCTCGTACCAGCAGTGGTGGGCCCCCAGGGCTATACCTGGCAGTGCTCGGAGGTGCATGCGGTGCCAGGGATTCAACTCAGGGCTTCACCCCTGTGGGGCACTGCCTGCCCCTTCACCCCCACCAAGCGCAACAGACTTCTGCCCTGGCTGGGCCGGGCTGGCGCTGTCCGTGGTGCTGATGAGCCGAGACCCAGAGTTCCTGGATGCAGGGATGCAGGCTAGCCCAACCCCAGGCCCCCACTCCACCTGGGCCCCCGAGCCCCCACTCCACCCTGCCCACCCAGGATACGGCTGTGGCTCTCTGCTTCTCTGAGCGCCAGAAGTGTATGGCCAGTTCGCCCCCACCATGGTGTCCCACTGTGGCTGCCAGAAGGAGCCACGCGGCCACCCCACTGTGGCCCGTGTCAGTCTGTCCCACTCACCAAAGCGTCATTCATAAGTGGACAATCAGGCACACTCGATTGGTTACACAACTTCCAAGACAGTCCTTGCCCACCCCCCATAAGTGGACGGTGCACCCTGCAAACGAACCAAATGGGCATGAACTATTCGGGATCCCTAAACCAGGCCCTGGCAGTGGCTGCCCACCCTTGTGAGGGCATCTCTGCAGGGCCCATGGGAGGCCACGTAATCGGCATCTGCGATTCCCATGGCAGGAAACCGGCATTGATGCGTTCCTCAGGCCACGGCTGTGCTGTGCTGCATTCGCTCGAGTATCGCTCAAGGGGGCGCCTGCCCTGTCCCCTCCTGTTCCCTTCTGTCCACTCCGTCCCCTCCCTGCAGGGCCATGGGCTTCTCTTCCTCCCTTGCCTGAGGCTGAACAACATCCTAGTGCATGGAAGGGCCCCTTCTTCTTCCACTTCATCCTGAAGGAGAAACAACCCTCCCACTGACACCAGGACCCCAGGGAGGGGGCAACCCCCATCTCTCTGGAAGCCCCCCCACAGCTCTGCGGGGGCTGCAAATGTGCCACCACTACGGGCGGGGTGGACCCTGGGCAGCATCTCCTACACCCCGCACCCCATGCTCTTCTCTGGGCACCTCCAGCCCGGAGCTTCCTAGCCAGTTTCTCAGGGGTCTGGTCCTCCTCAGCAATGCTTCCGGTGATTCCTGGCCAAGGGGACAGGTCAGGTGAGTGGTCGCACTGTGCTTCCTGGGGCTCACCAGGGCGACTCCTGGAATGCTCAGAGCTCATGTGGTGCTCAGACTGAACTCAGGGTTTCATGCCAGTGACAGTGTGCTCCTGGCCCCTTTGCTGCCTCCCTGGCCCCTGGCCCTCATCCTCCCAGTGTCCAGTCCCGTCCAAGCATGGGGGGAACGTGAGCAGAGCGGGTGCAGCTCCTTGAGATAGGGTGGAAGCAAAGGCCAGATGGACGGGATGCTGGGACCATTCGAAGCCGGGTGCTTGCGCAGGGCAGGAGTGCTGGGGTGAGTGTGCAGGCAGGAGCACCAGGGTCAGTGTGCAAGGCAGGGGCGCCGGGGTGAGCGAACAGGGCAGGGGCCCCAGGGAGTGCACAAGGCAGGGGTATGTGGGCCTCCTGCTGGCATCAGGAACAGGGAAGCAGAACCGCAGCCTGGCAGGGAGGGAGCTACTGTGGGGGTGTGGGGCCGTGAGGGAATGCTGGTCTATGGGGCTGTGGGGGGACTCTGGGTTATAGGGGTCTGTGGGGGGACACTGAACTGTGGGGGTCTGTGGGGGAGGGAGATGCTGCACTATGAGGGTCCATGAGGTGGGGTCGCTGGGCTAGGAGTCTTTGGGGTCAAGTTCTCAGGCAGTCTGGGGGCAGGTGGGAGTTGAAACTATTGGATCTCTAGGGGTCCTCACGGCCTGTGAAGGGAGCAGGCTATGAAGTTGGGCAACACAAGTCGAGCCCCCAGAAGTGAGGAGGAAGGGTCACCCTCTTCAGACATCCTCGCCCCCCACCAAGCCACCACTCAGCTGCTGGCGCCACATCTGGGTCCAGCACAGGCCAAGCCCTGCACCTGCTCTGGGCGGCCAAGCGCGCAGCACCATGGACAGTGCCCATGGCCCCTCCAGGGGCCTCAGCTCACTGGCTCTGATCCCGCGTGGGCACCCACCCGACTGCTGTCCTGCCTCCCATACCCATAATTTGGTCTTCTCAGTAGGGCCCATGCCTGGCGTGCTGGGGCTGTGTGGTGCTCGGATGGAGCCCTCGAACGTGAGTGTCACTCAGAACGCGCAAAGCAAGACCTTCCCAGACTCTGCCAACACCCTTCAGAAACACCAGGAACAATTTCGGCTCGGGCCGGAGCCAGAGTACAGTGGATGGCATTTGCCTTGGGTGTGGCAGAACTGGGTTGAATGCCTGGCACCCCAGAACCCGCCAGGAGTAACCCCTGAGCATAGCAGGTTATTAAACAAACAAAAAGGAACCAACTTAATTTTTAACTGGGTTCACTGGATCACACCCAATTCCATCTAAGAAAGCAAGTACCGCTTTAAGGCTGTTTCCTAGACAGACCTGGTGGAGTTTAAGACATACCGGGAGGAGCTCTGAGATCAGCGGGCTAGGCCCTCGGAAGATGGCTGGAGCCACAGCACAGCCGGGAGAGCACTTGCCTTGTACTTGGCCAACCCGGGGTCCACCTCTGACACCACATATATTCCCCTGAGCCCTGCCAGGAGTGATCCCTGAGTGCAGAACCATGAGTAAACCCTGAGCACAGCTGGTGTGGTCCAAAAATCTAAGCACACCAGGTGAACTACCCAGAGATCCTTCTGGAACATTCCAGAACCTGGAACATTCTATGGCCTTCTGGAATACTCTGGAACTCTTGGAAACATTCCAAAACCTTCTGAAACACTCTGGAACTCTCTGGAACATTCTAAAACCTTCTGGGATACTCTGGAACTGTTAGGAACATTCTAAAATTTTCTGGGATACTCTGGAACATTCTATGGCCTTCTGGAATATTCTGGAAGTTGGAAATATTCTAAAATCTTCTGGAATACTCTGGAACTCTCTGGAACATTCTGAAACCTTCTGGGATACTCCGGCACTGTTGGGAACATTCTAAAACCTTCTGGAACACTCTGGAACTCTCTGGAACATTCTAAAATCTTCTGGAATACTCTGGAACTCTCTGGAACATTCTATGGCCTTCTGGAATATTCTGGAATGGTTGGGCACATTCTAAAACCTTCCGGGATACTCTGAAACTCGCTGGAACATTCTATGGCCTTCTGGAATATTCTGGAATGGTTGGGCACATTCTAAAACCTTCTGGAATACTCTGGAACTCTCTGGAACATTCTGAAACCTTCTGGCATACTCCGGCACTGTTGGGAACATTCTAAAACCTTCTGGAATACTCTGAAACTCTCTGGAACATTCTGAAACCTTCTGGGATACTCCGGAACTGTTGGGAGTATTCTAAAACCTTCTGGGATACTCTGGAACTCTCTGGAACATTCTATGGCCTTCTGGAATATTCTGGAATGGTTGGGCACATTCTAAAACCTTCCGGGATACTCTGAAACTCGCTGGAACATTCTATGGCCTTCTGGAATATTCTGGAATGGTTGGGCACATTCTAAAACCTTCTGGAATACTCTGGAACTCTCTGGAACATTCTGAAACCTTCTGGGATACTCCGGCACTGTTGGGAACATTCTAAAACCTTCTGGAATACTCTGAAACTCTCTGGAACATTCTGAAACCTTCTGGGATACTCCAGAACTGTTGGGAGTATTCTAAAACCTTCTGGGATACTCTGGAACTGTTGGGAGTATTCTAAAACCTTCTGGGATACTCTGGAACTCTCTGGAACATTCTATGGCCTTCTGGAATGTTCTGGAATGGTCGGGCACATTCTAAAACCTTCCGGGATACTCTGGAACTCTCTGGAACATTCTATGGCCTTCTGGAATATTCTGGAATGGTCGGGCACATTCTAAAACCTTCCGGGATACTCTGGAACTCGCTGGAACATTCTAAAACTTTGCGGAATGTTCTGGAACTCTCTGGACCGTTCTAAAACCTTTTGGAACACTCTGCTTCAGATTGGCCCGGCCGGCCCGCCCCCCCTCCTCCCGCCCCTCCCCCGCCCGGACGGTCCTACCTGCTCCGGCGACCACTTGGGCCTCTCCTCGGGAGTCCTGCTCTTGGCCTTGAAGCCCCTCTGGGGCTCGGCCTGGTGCTTGGCCTCGGCGGGGAGGTTCAGCGACCGGGGCCGCGCCTCGTGCTGCTGCCGGCCCGGGCCGGGGCCGCCGCGGCCGCCGGGGGCGTCGGCGCGCGCGTGCTCGCGGGCGTGCTCGTGCTCGTGGGCGCGCGCGCGCTCGGGGCTGGCCTCGCCGGCGCTGGTGATGCTGCTCAGGCTCAGGCTCATCTTGATCTCGGCCACGATCTGGTCGATGTCCTCCTCGGGGTCGTCGGGGTCGCGGCCGGCGGGCGCGTTGCCGTTGGCCTCGGCGGCGGCGGGGTAGAAGTCGGGGTCCCCGTCGTCGCTGGCGCCCGAGCGCGCCGCGTCCTCGTCGTCCCGCCCGGGCGCCGCCGCCCCCGCCGCGGGGCCGGGCGCGGGCTCCAGGGGCGGCCGCCGCGCGCCGGCGGGGGCCGAGTCCGTCCACTCCTCCACCGCCTCCTGGCACTCGTCCGTGTCCAGCGGCGCCGCGCAGCCCGCGCCGTCCAGGTAGCTGTCGTCCTCGGGGCAGTAGCGGATGTAGTAGGTGACCCCCTCCTCCTCGGGCAGGCCCTCGTCGTAGTCCTCCTCCTCGTCCTCCTCGTCCTCGTCCGACGTGTTGTTCACGTAGTCGGAGCTCGAGTCCCCGCCGTCGGGGCTCTGCTCGGCGCCGCCCGCCTCGTCGGGGCTGGCCGCCCCCGCGGGGCTCTCGGGCCGCAGGCCGGACAGCGCCAGGCCCGCGGGCGAGTAGTCGGCGTCCAGGGCCCGCTCCGCGGCGGCGGCGGGCTCCTCGTCCTCGGGGCCGGCGCACGGCCGCGCCCGGTGCTCCAGCATGACGCTGCCCGCCGCCGCCGCCGCGCTCGGCCGCTTCCGGCTGGCCATGGTGGACGCTCAGGAGGCCATGGTCCCCGCAGGCAGCCCCTGGGGAGCAGGGAGAGGGGCGTCAGAGCCGGGGCCCAGGGGAGCTGAACAGGGGAGACCCCACCTGCCCCCCCCCCCCGCCTCGCCCGGCCCCTCTCCCTGTCCTGGACACCAGGGCAAGCCTGGAGCGCTTGCCCAGCACACAGGCGATCCGGGTTCGGCTAGCACCGATACGGTCCCCCGGCACCGCTGGGTGTGCCCCCACCCAAATAAAGAAATAAAACAGGGTTCACGGGGTTCACAGGACAGTGGAGAAGGCAGCTGCCTGACGCGAGGCCGAACAGAGTTTGACCCCGGGCACTGCATCGGATCCTCCAAGCCCTGCCAGAAGCGATCCCTGAGTGCAGAGTAAGCCCCGAGCTCTCCCGCGTGTGGCCGCCAAACCAAAATGAAACACATAAAAAAAAAAGTAAAAGCATTCACAGGACACATAGTGAGTGACCCATATTTTGCCACCACTTTTAAAAAATTCTTTTTTAAAATGAGGTCACAAGCAGTTGGGAGAGATTGGAGAGTGTCTGGGCGGGCAGGTCTGTGGGGGCATGGGACTGGGCGGGGGCTCAGGCTGGGAAGTGGGGGAGTTGTTCTGCATTTCCCCCCCAGCCCCCTCCCATAGCTCTGCTTGTCAGGGCACAGGCATGGAGCTGGGGTAGCAGAGCAGACAGCTCACACCAGGAAGGTGCCCTGCAGTGGGCAGGAGCCCCAGGGGTGCCAAGATGTCCTGGTGTGTCAACCGACCCCTTGGTGTAGGAAGCAAGGTGCTGCCTGGTCACTAAAACAGAGGAGACTGTCTGGAGGACACAGCGGGTCCATGAGTCCCAGCCCCCCCTACCCCCAGTGCCAGGATTCAAACCAGGGTCGACCATGTACAAGGCAAGAGCCTTAACTCCTGTACCATCTCTTGGCCCCAAGATCCTGGGATGCTTCCTGCCCTCTGAGCCCCAGGGGCTGGGGGCAGGACAGAGAAGCCCTGTGAGCAGATAGGCTTTGCTCTGAGAGATAAGCCCTCCCCCTCAGAGCAGCTGCAGCCCAATTCTGAAGAGCGGGAGCCCCACAATGCCTGCTCTCTGCCCAGGATAATGCGACATCCTGAAAAGATTCCGTCAATTCTAGAACGACGCAGGTGTGGGTCGGAACACGGGCACCCCGCGTGTGCTGGGAGCATCCTAATGAGATGGACGGTAAGAATTCGTGGGCCAGTCAGGAGCTCCAGTGCCCTCTGGGACAGCAGGGTCTCAGCACCGAAGACTGCGCTGGCACAGATGGAGAAATAGCTGTTCAATGGCTGGAATCTGGCTGGATGACAATGGGACCAACAAACGAGACATTGCCACTGCCAGCCCTAGTCTCACATGTGGCCCCGGCGACAGCCTTTCATCCCTTTCAAATATAATCCAGTGGCTTTGACTACAATGGAATTGGAGTTTCAGTGGTCTTGGGGGGCAGGCCGGTGCGCACAATCGGCTCTGGATTCCCAGCCAGATTCACCGGCTCATTTTCTAGCTGCCACGTCGCCACACAGCCCTGAGGGCAGATTATTACACTCATCTTCCCAGAGTCAGGCTGATGGCCCAGACCGTCCAGCCTGGTGCTGTGGAGTGGGGACAAATCACTTTGGAACAAAGAGACAAACTAGGCCAAGAGATGCAGAGCAGGAGCCAATCCTCAGAACCAAACCGAAAAAGAGAATTTTGGGGCTGGAGTGATGGGACTGTGGGGAGGGCACTTGCCTTGCCTGCAGGTCAACCCCTGACACCCTCAAGGGTCCCCCGAGCATTGCTAAGAGTCATTCCCGAACAAACACCCGGGTGTAACCCCTGAGCATCACTGGGAGTGGCCCAAACCCAAAAATACATTAAAAAAAAAAAACTAGTGTGTTCGTTTGACTAAGGCTGGGTCAGCCACAGGACGAATCTGCAGAATTAAACTATTGACAAAGAGTTTAACACAGCAAAAGCATTGTTTCATGATGTATACACAAGCCGGTCCACACAAACTGTGAAGAAGTACCTTTTGGAGGAGGGGAGGGGGCGGGTTCACACCTAGTCAGCTTACACCAGGGATCTCTCCTGGTGGACTTGGGAGATCATCTGGACTGCTGGAGATTTGAACCTGGGCCATACAAAAGTCCTACCCTCTGTACCATCACTCCAGCCCACAAGTACAATTTTTAAAAATCAGTGAGGAAGTCTCTGAGCAGAGTGTTGGAAACAGCGCCTGAGCACCACTGGGCATGGTCCCCCAAAATAGCCACCACCACCCCCTGCTGAGAGAGGGGTGGGGGAGAGAGCGCAGTCTGCGGTTTTTGTTCATTTTCAGTTTGTGTATCTGCTTTTCTTAGAAGAAGCAGTAAACCGGTTAATTTAGAAGAAGTCTCACTTCTTAATTTTCCAGGAAAGATTGTGCCAACTTAGTATTTTCAAGCTTTTAAATACTGGGAGAACTCAGTAGTGAATATAGGCAAGCCTGAGATTTTTCTTTTAGGAGGATTTTAATGATAAATAAGGTATCTGGAGGAGATTCAGGAAAATGGATTCTCTGATTTCGTCTTCAATGAGGGTTCATAGAGTTCCCATTGAAATAACTACAGTTATTAATGAAGATGAAGCCTGAAATAATTACAGATCCCAACTTCATTCTTGTTTTAAAAATCGTATTATTTTTTATTTTATTTTTTGGGGGGCTGCCACACCTGGCAATGCTCAGGCTTACTCCTAGCTCTGCACGCAGGGATCACTCCTGGTGGGACTCAGGGACCTAACGGGATGCCGGGGATCGAACCCAGGCGTGTGCAAGGAAAGCGCCCTACTTGCTGTCCTGTTGTCTTGGCCCCCTAGTTGCATTGTGTTGCTTTTCCTTTACAGTTCTATTAGCAGTTGCTTCATGGACATGATTCCAACACCACCCCGTTCCCGACACCAGCTCTCAGAGACCAGGCTCAGACTGACTTGAGGGTTTGTATTCCATTTCCCTGCCACTTCTCTGCCAAATGGGCTCTTCAGAGGTGCGACCTTAACTTCCAAACAAATTAAACACCGCTTCCCGTGATACTTAGCTGGCTTGTGCCACAAAGAACATACTTTGCAGGGTTTCATTTGCTTTCAAAGTCTTCACAGGGTTGTTACGAGGCCCAGAGTAGGGTCTGTCTTGGTGCTCTTGAGAGAGCTGAGTGGGGGATTCTGAAAGTGCCTTTTCGGGCTAGAGAACAGTACAGTAGCCAGGGCACCTGCTTTGCATGGGGTTGACCTGGGTTTGATCTCTGGCACCCCACAGGACCAGGGGTGAGAGCCAGGGGTCAGACTTGAGCACTGCTGGGTGTGGCCCCAAAACAAATAAAAAATTGCCCCACAGCGCCGGTTAGTTAGGGATCTGGTCTTTCTCTCTTTGATCTACCAGTTCCTAAGGGGCTGATGTCCCTAGCCATGGCTCCTGCCAACCCTTTCCTCTTCACTGTGTCATCCAAGGGGACCCGCTCCAGAGCGGGTGGTGGGATCCTGGCAGGCAGATCCCTAAAGCCAACACAGGGAGGAGTCTGGTCACATTCACGAGATTATTTATGGAGAGGCTTGAAGGTCACACCCAATGGTGTTTTGGGGCTCTCGGAGCTCTGTGCACTGGGCTTGCACCTGGCCGTGACACAGGTCACAGTGGCAGAGCCGTGGTTCAAACCTATGATTTGCTGCCTGGGCCCAGCCTGGACTTGGAAAAGTCGAGCAGGGAAGGAAGTGAGGACAAAAGTGAGCAAGAACACAGGCCATCAGCAATAGCGATCACCCTCCACATGCTCAACACCCCACACCCCTCCAAAGGAACACACCCCAAAAATGTCATTAGGTGAAAAATTAGGAGGGAACAGTCAGCTGAGACTTCGCACAGCACCTCTTTCTCTTCAGACCCAGCCGTGCTAGATGCCAACTAACAGCGGTAGAGAAATTCTAGATGAAATGGCCGGTGAAGGGCTTTGTGAAAGTCAATAGACCGAGTCATTCTTGGTTGAAAAAAAAAAAAAGGAAAGTCGATCCAGGAGCAAACTTCATCAATTTGGTAAGGAATATCCATCAATCCATCAGGGGCCAGAGAGATAGTACAGTGGGTGGGTAGGATCTTTACTTTCTATAATTGGGATTCAATCCCCAACACCCCGGAGGGTCCCCTAAGTACCTCCAGGAGATATCCCTGAGTACAGAGCCAGGATTAGTCCCTGAGAACCACTGGATGTGATCCAGAAACAAACCAAAAACCAAAAGGATATCCCTCAGGGACTGGGAAGAAGCTCAAAGGTCAGGCATACATGGGAAGACGCCAATTCAATATAACATGGTCCCCCAAAGCACCACCCATGTGACTCTGGTGACCCCAGAACTGCTTTATCTAAGCACTAAATGATCTGGTCCAGTCCTCTACGCTCTGCTTGGGAGAAGGAAAATATTTTTTCATCAACAAAATACACAAACGGGGCTGGAGCAATAGGACAGCGGGTAAGGCGTTTGCTTGGCACGAGGCCGACCTGGGTTCGATTCCCACCATCCCATATGGTTCCCCTGAGCACCGCCAGTTGTGACCCAAAAAGCAAAAAAACAAAAAATAAACAAAATACACAAACAAATTGTAGCAATACAATAAAAATATATCCTTTATGTTGTAAAATATAAGATGTCTGTTTCAGTCAGCACCATAACAGTAACCAGAGTTGTGGGTGCGAAGAACAGTCTTAAGCAGTAATAGACTGAGAAGAAAGAGGCATTTTTATAGCATGAAGGCTCTTTGCAAACAATCAGGAGAAATCGGTTGACAAATGTGTCTAATAACAACAATAATAAAAGTGCAGTGAGGCGGCTATATGCAAGTTCAATGTATAAAAATTACTGGATTTCCCAAACATCAGTAATAACCACTTCTAAGCTATAATAGTGCGAGAGTTTTCATGTCCCACCAGATTTCATATAGCAACAAAACTATCAAGCACCTGGGGAAAGAAGT